GGTGTTTAAGAATGAAGCTTGGGGACGATCACAGCGGAGACAGGCACGAGCTAGAGCTACAGACGGCTGGGCTGGGGACGGGGGACGCTGGCGTGGTCAGGGTGCGGTGTGCGAGAGCGAGTGTGTTGAGATACGAATGAATGGCCGTCGCGGAGCACCTGCACAGCCTCTCGCCCAGTTCCTTCCGTTCCAGAAGACGCCAAGACGTGGCACCTGCGGCAGGTGCGAATCGCAACGCGGTACCACAATGGGCCGACGACCATCAACAAGAGGCTACGACAGCGCGGCATGTGCTAGCAGCCCGAGCCCGAGCACACGACCGTCATACCCCAAAGCCTGAACGCCTGTCTGCCGCGACACAGCACGAAGCCCCCCATCTGCCCTGGTGTGCGTGACGCCCCTCCAATTCCTCTCCTCCACCTCCACCTCGCACTTTTGCTCCCCGGTGGCCGTACGCTAGCCCTCCCGCGCCATCGCCCGAGCTGTCACCCACTCGACTCCCCAGACCCGCGCTCTAACAGCCGTGCAGCAGGACACCGCGACATACACACACTCCCCCCATGGCCCAGGGAACACGCGGGCCCGCCCCGGCTCAACTGCCGCCCAACGGCACTGCGACGCACGCCCACGATGCCACCCCGACCACCGTCAACCGCAAGAAGCAGAAGCGACGCGAGAAGGAGGCCGCCAAGCGAGCCGCACAGGAGCCGCCTGCGCCTGCGCCCGCGCGGAATGGCGTGTCGCCTGCCCGAGGGCCGCCCGGCCAGCAGCAGTACGCCGACCCGGAGCTGGACGAGGCGGCGTACGACGAGGGGGAGTACTACTCGGACGAGGAGTACGAGCACGCGTACGGCACAAACGGCGACTACCCGCAGGGCTACGGCCACGCCCCAATGCGCAGCCAAGCGGGCAAGAAGACGCGGCGGAAGAAGAAGGCGCCCTCCGCACCCCCTCCGCTGGCCTACACCCAGCACGTCGCATCACGCCTCAGCCCCGCACCCGCCCACCAAATGTCGCCCGCCCACTCGGTCGCGCGCTCCGGCGCCCGCGGCGACCGCATATGGAACACGACCATGCAGGACGAGCGGGACCGCATACGCGAGTTCTGGCTGTCCCTTGGCGAGGACGAGCGCAAGTCGCTCGTCAAGATCGAAAAGGAGGCGGTTCTGCGCAAGATGAAGGAGCAGCAGAAGCACTCGTGCAGCTGCACCGTCTGCGGGCGGAAGCGCACCGCCATCGAGGAGGAGCTGGAGGTTCTATATGATGCATATTACGAAGAACTCGAGCAGTACGCGCACCACCAGCAAGACGTCGGTAGTTTCATTCCCGAGGCTAATTATGGTTATGCGTCCAGTGCTCCTCACCACCCGCGCCCCATGCTGAACCCCCACCCCCCGCCCGGCCCCTACGACGACGACGAAGAAGAGTACGACTCGGGCGAGGAAGAGGAGGAAGACTCCGAGTACGACAGCGAGATCTCGTCAGAAGGCGGCTACAGCTCAGGCGAGCGCAGTCTGCCGCCGCCCGAGCCCTCAGACTTCCTCCAGTTTGGCAGCAGTCTGCAGGTCAAAGGTATGCCCACCCCCTACCCGTGCTGGGAGCATGCTGATTCATCCTTTTAGGTGGCATACTTACGGTTGCTGACGATTTGCTCAAGAACGATGGGAAGAAGTTCATCGAGATGATGGAGCAGCTCGCTGAGCGTAGGATGCAACGGGAAGAAGATGCTCAAGTCCAGGCTCACCCCGGCGCCCAGCACCGATCCTACAGCGGCCACAGCCACAGCGCTCCCCCGCCCGATGAAGACGACTACGACGAAGAGGGCGAAGACGAGGAAGAGTACGACGACGACGACTACGAGGAGGACGAAGAGGATGAGGAAGTGCGTATTTTAGGCTGGACTATCTATCTGCAACTAACCCCGCCCAGGGCGCCATGACCGAGGAGCAACGGATGGAGGAAGGCCGGCGAATGTTCCAGATCTTCGCAGCGCGAATGTTTGAGCAGAGAGTGCTCCAGGCGTATCGAGAAAAGGTGGCCGCGGAACGACAGCAAAAGCTACTCGAAGAACTGGCGGAGGAGGATGTGCGGAAAGATGCGAAAGAGGCAAAGAAAGCAAAGGAAGCCCAGAAGCGCAAGGAGAAGAAAGACAAACAACGGCAGCTGAAGGCGGAACAGGAGGCTCGCAAGGAAGCCGAACGAGCAGCCAAGGAAGCCGAGGCCAAGGCTGCGGAGGAGAAGCGACTAGAGGAACAGCGGAAGAAGCGAGAAGAGCAGCGCAAGAAAAAAGAGGCCGAACGCAAAGCCCAGGAGGAGGAGAAGCAGCGCAAGGAGGCCGAGCGTCTGAAACGACAGCAGGAAGAGCGCGAGCGACAACAGGAGGCAGAGAGAAAAGCACGCGAACAGAAAGCCCTCGAGAAGAAGGCCAAAGACGAGGCAAAACGGAAGGAACGTGAAGAGCGGGAAGCGAGGGAGAGAGAAGCGAAAGAGAAGAAGGCACAGGAGGACAAGGACCGCAAGGAACGGGACTCGAAGACCAAGGGCCAGACGCGCAAGGAGGATCAAGCCGCCGCTGCAGCTGCCCACAACGCTATCGCAGGTGCGAAAAAGGCCTCGCAGCCAGTAGCTGTTGCGCTGCCTCCTCAACTGCTGAAGCAAAATTCGTCTACGGGAATGCCATCGCCGCAGGTCACGCCAGCTGTACCGAAGGCTCCAACACCGAACCGACCGCGCCAAACATCGCACCAGACCTCCCACGGCTCCTCGCCGAAGACTCCCCATGCTACTCTAGGAACAAGCAAGTCGACATCCCCGACCTCCCAGCTGCCAAACCAGTCGATACCAAGGTCGATCTTGACGAAACCGCCAATCCAACAACAAGGTCTGGGGACCCCGCATGGACAGCCATCGTCTCCGATGCCTCCAATGGGACCACCACCAGGTATGCAAGGGCCGCCAGGACTGAGTATGAATATGCCTCCAGGGCTGAACGGCTTCCCTGGCCATGGATCGATGATGCCTGGAATGATGGGCCCACGGCCAAACATACCGTTCTTCCCTCAACCAGCGCCCCAGAGCTTCCGTGGATTCCCACCTCCTGGCATGCACACACCAGGTGCACTTCCAATTGGCCGTGGTTTCCCAATGGAAGGACCACCAGGTTTTCCAGCACCTCCAGGCTTCACTGCGCCAATGCCATCCGCCTTCCCGATGGGCATGCCGACGCACTCGCGGCAGGGCTCGGGGTCTTTTGAACGACTCTCAAACGAGAGCCCCATCACTGGTCCTCAAGCACAGCCCATTCAACGGCCAACGCCAATCAAGCGCCCTTCAAGCGTGAAGGCGGGCGATGAAAATGGACAGCAGGGGTCTGATGTAGACGAACTGGCGAATCACCTAGGCAGTAAAGCGCTGCTGGACGACGATGACGACATCCCCGAACTACCGGATCGACGCCCAAGCATGCAACAACACGGCTCCGTGAGAGCGCCATCATTCGGCTTCGCAGACATACCCGGGTCGCAATATGGCTCGTTCGGAGCACCAGGCGGCGGCAGCATCTGGGGCACACCACCCCTACAAGGCTTCCACTCCGGAGCCAACTGGGGCAACTCGCCCACCTCCAACATCTTCAACAGCCCCTTTTCCATGAACACCACGCGCACCCTCGAACGCAACGCAAACGAGCAGCGCATAGTCTGGCTCCGCCGTACCATCTGCGCTGCATGCAAGACCCTCGCTCCCCGCGCCTCCGATGCAGACGGCTACGTCGACGCGTCGGAAGTACATCGCCAAGTCGAAGCTTCGCGCGGTGCCATGGATCCTGCTGTCTCGGTCGATGAGATTAAGGAGGCGTGCGATATCCTCGATGTCACGCATACGAATGGTGGTGGGAGCCTGGAGTACAAAGAAGATGCCAGTGGCAGGTTGTCGCATATCAAGTTTAGTGATGGTGCGATACAGGTTCCTCCTTCGAGCTTGGGCGAGATTGGCAGTCCTGTGCCAGGCCACAGCGTTCTCGCTGGTGGCTTTGGAGGCAGGTTTCCTGGATTGGGCCCGCAGGGGTTCTGAGATGTTTGGTCAGATTCTGTTCTCTTGGACTGTCATCACATTTTCTTTTGGCTGAACAGGGTGTGCTGTGTATCTCTGTTGGTAAAGCTCCTCCTTCCTACTTGTTCCTTTGTAGATGAGAGACGAGTTGTCGGCCGGTCTAGTCTAGTTCTTCCTCTTGTCATTGATGGCTGCAAGTGGAGGTAATCTAGTCGCTGAGAGATGTGCCATGATGGGACTTTGACGTGCTCTGCATATGGTGATGTGATGCGATATTATTGCTAATGACAGAATCACTATTAACTTCAATATGTGTTAACCCCTCAGTTTCGACTACTCCATCTTATTTGTAACACAGCATAATGACCAGATGCTGACAAGGTTGACAGCATGCCTCACAAAATGTATTCAACTTTCCACGTAGTTCGACGTTGACGGGTAGTGTCGGACGATCCCCACCCAGGACACCGGAACACAGCACGTTGTGGCAACGTTGTAAGAGGAGCGGTCAAGCACGCCGCCTCGTACCAGTGTCACAAAACCCCGCAATTGCGACATTTCACTACCTCAGCAGAAGCATTTGGCTAGACCACCTCGATGACGCTACATTGTATGTTCTGCCAGACGGTTGAGTTTGGGTAGCCTCATGAACTGGTCGAGCAGAGGAAGGATGACGGTATCTTCTCACTCTATTAATAGGATGAAGCTGGTAAAAACGTGGTTAGCCAGGCACGCATCATAATCGTCGGTCCTGCATCGTCATCCCTGCATTCAGTATCCCTGCTAGCGCGTGTCGCCCGGCGGGGTCGTGAGAGCCTCATAGCTGAGCTTGCTACAACGCCGAATGTTCTACGTCTTTTCTTACTTCAATTGAATCATCTACTTTACACCACCCGTTTTCTTTGTACCATTCATATCTCTGTACCTTTCGCTTGCACACACTATTCATCATGTCCGACCCCATCGCCGACGCTGCGCAAAAGCACCCTGCGCCAGATGGCCTCAAATACACGTACGGAACTGCTGGTGTAAGTTCATGAGAGGATCGTTCGAGATATTGAAGCATTCGCATGCTAATAGAGATTTCAGTTCCGAACAAAAGCGTAAGCTATCCCCTGCATTCATACGATAGATGGCTACGGTACCAGCTATCGAGCACCTCCGCGCGCCGCAGCTGGTGACCCTCACACCACCGACCCTCCCACCAACACTCGTCACACACGAAACTCCCGAACTACGCTTACAATAGCAGTGATGTCCTCGATTCTGTCCTCACTCGCGTTGGTCTCATTGCGGCGCTGCGGTCGCGGGCGCTCAAAGGCAAATGGATTGGTGTCATGATCACCGCTTCGCATAATCCTCCTCAGGACAATGGTGTGAAGCTCGTCGAACCAATGGTACAGTTCTTTTCCCACCATGAGGGAAGCTTTGGGCTAACAACTTTCTAGGGCAACATGCTGCAAGAGGACTGGGAGGTCATCAGCACCGAGATGGCGAACAAGGCCACCCCCGAAGACGTCTCGAAATACTACCGCGAAATCGCCGCCCAGAATAAGATCGACCTCAGCACGCCCGCACGCGTTGTCGTAGCCCGTGACACAAGAGCTTCAGGTTCAAGGCTTCTCGGATGCCTCGTCGATGGTTTGAACGGCGCCGGTACTGAAGTCAAGGACTACGGCTTCCTCACCACGCCACAACTACACTACATGGTCAGGTGCTTGAACACCGAAGGTACTAAGGAGGCCTACGGTACACCTACTGAGAAGGGCTACTACGAGAAGTTCGGCGCGGCTTTCAAGACCGCGCTGCGTGGAAAGAAGCCTTCTGGCAGTCTTACGGTCGACGGTGCCAATGGTGTTGGTGGACCGAAGCTGAACGAGCTCATCAAGTATCTCCCCACCAAGGAAGAAGGCGGTCTTGAGATCTCCGTCATCAACGACAACGTCATCAAGCCCGAGAGCTTGAACGTCGACGTAAGCAAACATATTCACAGGTGATGAGAGTTTGCTAATTCACGAACAGTGCGGTGCAGACTATGTCAAGACCAACCAGCGCGCGCCCCCTTCTTCCAAGGCTGGACCCGGTGATCGATGCTGCTCGCTCGACGGTGACGCTGACCGTGTAGTATACTACTTCAAAGATGAGAAGAACGTGTTCCGATTACTCGATGGCGACCGTATCGCGACTCTCGTAGCTTCCTTCCTCGGCGACACTGTTAGGCAAAGTGGGCTGGCAGACAAGCTCAAGATTGGGGTTGTGCAAACCGCCTACGCCAACGGCGCCGCCACGAAGTACGTCGAAGACAACCTCAAGCTCAAGGTCGACTGCACACCCACCGGCGTGAAGTATCTGCACCACGCAGCCGAAAAGCTCGACATTGGTGTCTACTTCGAAGCCAACGGCCACGGCACCGTCATCTTCTCGCACGACACCCTCGACACCATCGAAAAGCACGAGCCCCGCAACCCCGGCGAGAAGGAAGCCCTTGACGTCCTACGCGCCTGCATCAACCTCATCAACCAGTCCGTCGGCGACGCCCTCTCCGACTTCCTCCTCGTCGAAGTCGTCCTCGCGCACAAGCACTGGGGCTGCCAGGAATGGCTCTCAACATACAGTGACCTGCCCAACCGTCTTCTCAAAGTGCTTGTCAACGACCGCACCATCTTCAAGACCACAGATGCCGAGCGCAAACTCACCAGCCCAGAGGGTCTCCAGTCGCAGATTGACAAGGAAGTGCAGAAAGTCCGCCAGGGTCGCTCGTTTGCGAGGGCCTCTGGTACGGAAGACGCTGTCCGCGTGTATGCTGAGGCTGAGACGAGGGCTGAGGCTGATGACCTTGCGAGGAAGGTTAGTGAGCTTGTTAAAGCTGCGGGGAGCAACTAGGAGTTGTGGAAGGACATTTTGCTGGAATTAGACCTGGCGATACAAATAATCGCGGGCACATAGATTCTCATGCTATTGCATCGCTTGTGGATGAATGGATGGATTGGATGAAGGAATGAAATGAACGGGGTGATTGCTAGCAAGGTAGATTAGATGGGGTAAAAGCGAAATGTCATTGATTTGTTCAACTTTGAGGTGTGATTGTGTGAGGGTGGTTGCTGGTTAATTTTTTGGCTGATTCGATGGGTGCCGTGATGATGTTCTATACCCACGTCCGTCCCAAGAGAAAGACGACCACATGATTTCCATTTGAAGATTACGGCTGGGACAATTTAACTTCGTGTGTAACGAATGTATTTCTGAAGCATCTATCTGGTTCACATCGATTTGAGCTTTGTTGGTGTTGTTGTGCTGTATTTGGTGTTCGCGGGCATGTCCGAATCGGGTAACTTGTGCAAAGTCGTGGATTGCAGTCGCAGGTGCCTGGTTTGTTACCACAGGACTGAAAGTCACGTTTGCTCTTGGGTAGGTATGATGGGAGGGGACGCGGAATCTGGATGTGGCTTCTAGTGTTGGAGTACAGTTGAGAAGGAATGTTTTTTTTGACGGGAGATGTTCTTCTTAGATGACTTGCTGGGTAGATTGGTGGGCAGATTGATGAAGGTCGTGGTGATGGTGGGATGTAAGCGCGTTATCATTATCTTGTCCGATTTGGCTCTTGACGGGACCTCTCAGCGCCAGCACTGGCGAGATTCATTCTATGGGACGAACGCATGGCACCGCAAAGCAGAGTATCTCCAAGATGGCTCGGTGTTCTTTCTCCCTCTTCCCCACTTCCGACACACATCGCATTTCACCGCTGGCTAGGATCTCGGCAGCACCGAGTTCACGGATCATCCGCACCCAATAAAACTCCACGCAACCCACGATCCATCTCCAAGCATAAACGTGGCCCATTTCATATCGTCCGAAACATGCATATTTGAAACGAGAGTGGACTGGACAAGCCTCATCAAATCCGAAGAGCCGCCTGCGCACCGCCACATTCCCATATCTCATTCGTCGAGTTATGCATCAACGTCACGATACATAGACTTCATCGATCTTGCGTGAGCAGGTGGCAGTGCAAAAGCATGGTGCAGCTTCATTCTTCCGCTCTCCGCAAACTACTCCGAGCTCACTAAGGGGCGATCTCTCTGGAAAATCTTAGAGCAGCTGGCCAGGCCCTGGAGGCCAAAAATAAAAACCACCCGCCAGAGATGCCATGGCAGAGCCGCGTACCCGGCGTTAAAACGGCGCGTTGGGACAGCCAATGGCTGGGCGTGTCTGGTGGAAGGCGGCTAGGGTCTGGCTCTAGCGAGGCGTCACAGCTCCCTCTAGCGCCGACATCTTGACAGGGCACGACAGGGATCGACGGCCCTTTTCCATCCGCTTTCACGGGCAAGGGACGCGAGGCACTGCTCGTAGCTCTGAACTCTCTCTCACTGCCGTTACTGCTTACTGCTGTCGTTGCTTGCTTCACTCTTGGCTTTCCTTACACTCTGCTTTGTACACTCTTTCTGCTTTGCGCGTATACCCACTTGTCATTTTTCCTTGTGAACAGCAAGCCGCCGAATAAACCCGAATACGACCAACGGCGATCTTTACGGTACAGCAGATCTTACTCAGATCTCAGTGAGAGAGAGGGGAACACGAGGAAGACATGCGCTGAGCTCTCGGACCCGAGATCGACCCCCAATACCACGTGTACCCATCACACGTGCTACCACAATCGCTACCACACCTTCGCTACACGTTACACCCGTCACTCGCTATGGCATCCACAGTACCGAACGTGCTGCTCCGGCGGGACCTGAGCATAGAGCAGAAGTTCGAGCAGTTGATGACAGAAAATGCCCTGGGCGCTTCGGTACACGCAGCCCCCCATCTGTCGCATGCGACTCTAACACGCCCAGGTATCCCAGGACTCCGTCCTCGTCGCTATCGGCACATCCTTCGGCATCACCGCCGCCATTTTCATACTATTCCTCTTACTACGTCCTTTTAATACTATCGTTTACGCGCCCCGTCTCCGACATACCGACGAGAAACACCGACCGCCGCCTCTCGACAAATCGCTGTTCGCGTGGTACAAGCCCGTGTTCAAGACAAACGAACCCGAATATGTTGAGAAGATTGGACTGGATGCGACCATCTTTCTTCGTTTTGCGCGCATGTGCAGGAACATGTTTGTCGTACTCGCCATCGTTGGCTGTGCGGTTATCGTTCCCGTCAACGTCATCAAGTCGGTGGAATTCCAGAAGAATTTCGACGGAGATATGAGCGGCAAGATCATCTTCCTGATGACCCCTAGAGATCTATTCGGTCAGGTTTTCTGGGCTTTCGTCGTGCTGGCATACCTTATCGACATCATCGTCTGCGGCTTCTTGTGGTGGATGTACCGCGCTGTACACCGGATGAGACGCCAGTACCTCGAGCACCCAGACTACCAGAACAGTCTGCACGCGCGGACGTTGATGGTTACGGACATCGACCGCAGCTTTCGCAGCGACCAGGGCATTGTGGAGGTTACGGACAGCTTGAAGACTACGCCGGAGGTGCCCCGCGCGTCCATCGGACGCAACGTGAAGGACATCCCAGATCTTATCGAGGCACACGAAGAGGCGGTCATTGAGCTGGAGAAGATATTGGCAAAATATTTGAAGAACCCGAACAAACTACCTGCCGAGCGACCGCTATGTACTCCCTCCAAGAAAGACCCAGAGTTCACCGACAAGGCGCAAAAGGTGGATGCAATCGACTACCTCACAGCGCGCATTCAGCGATTAGAAGGCAAGATTAAGGAGGTGCGGGAGACAATTGACAAGCGCGATGCTCTATCGTACGGATTCGCTAGCTACGAGAGCATCGACTCTGCGCACATGGTCGCCTTCGCAGCACGCAGCAAGCACGTCAAAGGCACCACCGTCCGACTTGCACCCAAGCCGAAGGACATCATCTGGAAAAACCTTACCCTCGACCCCAAGACGCGACGCTGGAGGAGGACCGTGAACAACTTCTGGATCACCCTGCTCACGCTCCTGTACTTCATCCCCAACGCACTGATCGCCGTCTTCCTGTCCAAGCTCTCCAACCTGGGTTTTGTATGGCCTACCTTCCAGACCGAACTAGCCGCACACGCCGATTTCTGGGCTGTTGTTCAAGGTCTCGCAGCTCCGGCACTTACCTCGCTCTTTTACTACTTCCTCCCCATCATCTTCCGTCGCTTGTCCATCAAGGCCGGAGACACAACCAAGACATCCCGAGAGCGCCATGTCACAGCACAATTATACGCCTTCTTCGTCTTCAACAATCTCTTCGTCTTCTCGCTCTTCAGCGCCGTCTTCGGTATGATTGTCATGATCGTCAATCTCGCGACCCAGGAACACGTTCCATTCATGGATATCCTACGACAAATCAAATTCTTCGACACGACCATGCGTACCCTGTGCGAAGTCTCGCCTTTTTGGGTTACATGGCTCGTCCAGCGTAACTTGGGCGCCGCTATTGATCTGGCCCAGGCTGTCAACCTCGCGTGGGGCAGTTTCTCTCGCAAGTTCTTGAACCCGACGCCTAGGGAGCTGATCAGTCGGACTGCGCCGCCGCCGTTTGACTATGCGAGTTACTACAATTACTTTTTGTTTTACTCGACGGTTGCGCTGTGTTTTGCGCCGTTGCAGCCGATTACGCTGGTTATTGTGGCGATTTACTTTACGCTCGATAGCTGGATGAAGAAGTATCTTCTGATGTGAGACTCATCCCTTCTCTCCTCATATGCTCTAGCTAATCTCTCTTAGGTACGTCTTCTGCACCAAGAACGAGTCTGGTGGCGCCTTTTGGCGCGTGCTCTTCAACCGCATGCTCGTTGGCACTTTCTTCTCCAACTGCATCGTTGCACTACTGGTCGTAGCCCGCGGTTACGAACACAAATGGACCATGCTGGCCGCCATGGCCCCTCTCCCTCTCGGCCTAATCGCCTTCAAATTCTACTGCAAGAACGCCTTCGACCACTCACTCAAGTACTACACGCAAGGCACACGCGCCAAGGGCACCGAAGCCCCAACCCCAATCGACAAGGAATCGCGTCGTAGGGATCGCGTCGCCGTGCGCTTCGGGTAAGTTCATCTACACTTTGCAACGACAAAGACAAACCACTAACATGTTTCTCCCCAGCCACCCAGCCCTCTACCAAAAACTCACCGTCCCCATGGTGCACGAAAAATCCAAACACCTCCTCGCAGAAGTTTACCGCGGCCGCCTCGACGGCGACATCGGCGACACCGCCGCCTTCTCCGACGTCTACACCATGAAACGCATGTCCAAAGAACACCCGGGTAAAACCGCCGCTTCCGCCAACATCACCAGTGGAGGGGGCGGAACCGGCCCCTTTGAATTCGTGTCGGAGTCGAATATGGATTTCGAGAATTATAAGAATAGACCTGAGTTTAGCGATGAACATGGCGGCGAGGGGAGTTTGTATGGCGGTAGTACGGTGGGGAGGCCTGATACACCCGGTTCCCACTGGGGCCGCGATAACTCGACGAACAACAGTGATCGCGGGCGCAGCACAAGTCGTGATTCCGAGAGGACGATGCGCGACGATCCGGGCGTGTTGTACCCTGCTGGGTACCATCAGACACCCAGTGCGTTGCGCGAGTATAGTCCTAGTCCCAGCTTGGATTTGAGGGGCGTGGATAGTAGAGAGAGTCCGTATGAGATTGGAGGAGGGGATCAGGGGAGGTTGGTTAGTGGGGCGGCGCCGATGGGTGTAGGGCATGGACAACAGCAGTATACGCCGTATAGTCCTAGTAGGGATGGGGCGAGGGATTATTTTGCTAGGTAGTAAGAGGTGGATGACGAATTTCTTTGTGTTCATATAGCGGCATCTAGATGGGCGTCATAGTCATCTTGAAGAATTAGATACCAGAATTATCAATTGCTTCTCTTCGAATCAGCGATCTTTTAGCATATCTTATCACACCACTAGGTACAGGTCCTGCAGAAGAGGCACTGCGAGATCATCATATATGGTGCATTGTACAATTACTCGACAGCTATGCAACCCGCGAACTAAACCGCTGTAATCTTCTTTCCGACTGAGATATGACTAGGCAACAAATCCCTCAACACCCCCAAATCCCCCACCTCCAGCGGATTAACCCCCCAAACCGCCAAATCCGCCACAAACCCCGGTAAAAGCCGTCCCCTCTCCCCCTCCTCTCTTAGCAGTTCTGCAGCTTTAGTCGTATGCAACGCAACCGCCTCACCCACTGTAATCGCATGCTCAACCCCCCTCACACCATTCACAGTCTCGCGACTCGCCATCCCCCAAACCGACCGCATAGCCGCAAAACTACCAACAGGATAGTCGCTCCCGCCCGCAATCAGCGCACCAGCATCCAGCCACGTACGAGCGGGGAAGGTGCGAGATACGCGGTCGCGGCCCCAGTATACCTCTTGGACCCCCGCCGCGTTATGGAGAAGCGGATGTTGGATGGTTGTAGCGATGCCGAGCTTCACGGCTCGGATCTGTTCGCTTGGTGAGACTAGGCCTCCGTGTTCCATGACTAGTGTTCCAGGTTGTAGGTAGGGAAAGCAGTGCATGAGTTCCTCGTATACATCCAAGACGAGTTCCACAGCACGATCCCCATACGCGTGTGTTCCTATTTTCCATCCACGCCGGACAACAGCGGTCATGGCTTCTACGAGAGCGGGTTTCTCCCACGTGAGCATCCCGTGGTAGGAGGGTAGTCCGCAGCAATTGCAGTCTGCGTCTTTTTCGCGACCGGGTGGTATCTCGAGGAAAGGTTCGGAGACGGCGCCTGCTTCCATGCCGCCGTCGACCATGAATTTCACGCCCCAGACGGAGAGGTAGGGCGAGGTTTGGAAGTGGCGGTATGATTCCATCTTATCAAGCAAGCCCTCGACCTGCTCTGCGGATGTCATGCCTACGGCGGGTATAAGGGCATGTACGCGCACGTGAAGTTTGCTGGCTGCGTGGGTAGCGACGAGGGCGTCTAGGTCGGCGAGCGGGACGTAGCAGTCGCGGACGCAGGCTGTTCCTGTGGCGGCGTACGCACGGCTTGCGGCTTCTAGTCCTGCGACTCTTTCTGCAAGGGTTGTGGATGGCTTTAGTTTGAGGACGGGGATGGTGGCTGAGTCTTGGAAGAGACCGGATAGACTTCCGTCTGCTTCTTTTCCGATGAGACCGCCGGGTGGGGAGGGGGTGGAGGAGGTTATGTTCAGTAGTTTTGTAATGACTGAGTTGACTACTACGTTGTGACCACCTCGCATAACCATGATGGGGTGCTTAGTGGACACAGCATCGAGTTCCTTGAGCGTAGGCAACCTCTGCTCTTCGATGTTGTACTCCAACCAATCCGTCGCCGTACAAATCCATTCGCCCTCTTTCGTCTCGCTCGCCCGCTTCTTCAAACTCGCGAATAGCTCATCTAGGTTCTTGACGTCGTGCACTGGGACGTCGAAGTAGGTGAGACCAGCGAGAATCAGATGTGTATGCGTATCTGTAAATGCGGGGAGGACGGTGGAGTCTGGTACGTCGATGATCTGGGTCTCGCTGCCGATGAAGTCGTCTAAGCCTGCTGGGTCCTCGGAGACAGCGACGATGCGGCCGGAGAGGAGGGCTATGGAGCGTTGTGATGGCATACCCGGGTGGAGTGTTTCGATTGTGCCGGCGCGGATTAGGGTGTCTGCTTGGGGTTGGGAGGTGGGAGAAGTCATGTCGAATGGAGTGTGCTGTGTGAGTAAAATAGTGATATTACCAGGCTTGAGAAAGTAACAGAGAAGAAGTTCTTTTCTATTTGTGTATTTGTGTAGTCGTACGTGTTCACCAAGTAAGTGCTCGTTCTACTTGTACTCAAGCGTTCGGCCGAAAGAGTAGCAAATGCCTTTGCGTACCTTTCGTACCATCATGCACTACGGTTGATGTGTGCGGACACATGACATAGTTTTCGTACAACGTCGTATATTCAAATCGTGGCTTGACCAGCATTGCGATTAAGTTGTGGCGGTAGAATGTACTGCATGGATCTCCTGGCTCAAGGTCGGTGGTCGCGTGATCAGCAGGCCGAAGACGGAGTTCGGGCCTACAAGACGCCGCAATTCAAATTCCATGATCTGTGATAGAAAGAACATGACAAAATGTAAGGAGGAGAAGGCATGGAGAATCGTGTACGAAGTCAGTGCTCTGCTCAGCCCTTCGGTGGAGATGGAGGCGGGTGCCGTGACGGGGTAACGCGCTAACTTACTTAGCGCAGAAGCCTCGCCAACTTCCAATGTTGATGTCGCCTCAGGCATCTCTTGTCTCAACCATCGAAAGCTCAGCGGAACTTTGTCATACATTCAGTGTAACGTTGCGCTGGAGCGTCCGTTATTATTACCGATCGCCGGTCGTTGCATGCTGTCTCCAATTCGCTGTGCAAAGCATTTGCCAAGTACACAGTATCCTCTTTCTACTTTGTAAGACGAGGTACTTTCTTACTTTCATTGTTTTGATGATTGATAGCACACTCGCAGAGAACTATCTCGACGCGCGATTTGCCTCATCATTATCCTTCAAGTCGTGGTGAGCAAAGACGATCTGTGGAGACATCAGCAGTAGAGTGTGTCCCACACTGTCCTGATGCTCAAGAGCTGGGAGTACATGTCGGCGTATTCTATATACTCGTGTCTTGCAAACTGAGCGACCACGTGTTTGTCCGCCCTTTTTGGATCAAAGGTTAGACGAAAGCCTGCAATTGCTGGGATAACCTCGATGCGTACCAGTGTCCTTCATCTCAAGTCTTTAATCGATGGACTGTTCTCGGAAGTCATGCTGAGACTCTCAGAATCAAGGGAAGACATCTCATCAGAATAGCCGTTGAGACTGTATTTGTTTCAGAGTACGACTAGGCCATGCGCGCACAGACTCCACCTTATCAGCTCTCTTCTCGATATTCTGGACTTTCCATCTAATTATTGTTGCCCCCAATATCTCCTCAACTTTCCATAATCGGCGCGCGCTCGAACACCGGTGCCCACGATGGATCTGCCTTCTCTTTTGGTAGACACGTATAAACGGTATGATTCTCTACCGAGACCCGCTGCTTAATCTGGCTAATAGCGACCTTGCATCTCAGCTATAAAAGCGGTACACAGATTGTAGCTACTTGGCTCGCGACATCGGCCGCCCGGATCCAGTCCATCGACCACTTATTGATCAAGGACGGACGTCTCAAAGGACAAGCTCGCGCTGCAGCCCGGCAGAATGGAGTGAGCGAAGTGCCTTTACACGCGTTCAAGACCTTGGTCGATATCCTTGCAAACGCTAAGATCACTTTGCCGACCGATATCGAAGCTATCTTGTGGAGTGTCATCACCGCTCGCAAAGAATGTGCAGGCTTCTACCGAGCGAAACCAGAGCGAGAAGCTGGTGATGACATCGATGATGAAGGCCATCAGTTCTTCATCGACATCCTCGACTACTATTACCACACGCTTAAAGCGCCGACAGCAGGTAAGACCAAGGAAGAGCGCGAGAAAGGATCATCTACGGATAGTCGCACATCTAACCTCTTCCAACACCTGAGTCTGGTTCAAGAGCATGCTGAGCCATCGGGCTACGTGCCTTCAGTGTCGACAGACACGCAGATCCGAAGCTACCGCATCAAGGAGTCCGCCAACCGAAAGAGTGAAAAGGCCTTTGCGCTGTTCTGTTTCCTTAAAGACATGACAGCAATTCGTTTATTCGTCCACAAAACCTGGCGCGGATACAAGGAACGTAGCCTCGCGCTTACCACAGCAGCGACGACCGCCAATGTCGCAGTTGAGATCTTGCGACGGGTGAACGAGGCCTTCCTCAAAGACTTTCCAGAATTCGAAAGCCACCACAAAGTGATCAAGTTCCTTGAGAGCTTCGAAGAACAAGGTAACAGCGGCATCACCCGGAAAGACGAGATGGGCTGGTACGATCTCGATCACTTCAAACTGTCCCCGCAAACCTTCGTCTGCAAAGATACTTATAACGTATATTTCCGAGACCATCTCTTCGATCACGACGGCAAGAAGGAAGTGATGGTAGATTATCACTCTGGCAGGAAAACTGCCAGGACCGAGCAGACTCACATGAGAAGGTGCCTTAGCGTCTTCTTGAGCCTCTCTAGGGCAGCCGATGTGGGCGCATTCACATGAGACCATGATATCCTAGCTCGCGCAATTCACGCCATCGATCAGGAGCAAAAAGCAAGCACTTGGATCATATTCGCACTCCAGATGTTCGTCGACATGCACCGTGAGCTTGGTGCGGAAGTACCTCGTGCGCATAGGGATCTCCTGGATGGTAACGCAAGAATGAGTGGCGCATTGAGACGGTACATCGACTTTGCAGAAAACCACGACGGCGAATGGGGCCGATATTTGTACACACAACTAGCCTCCTCATGGCATCGCCTTCTTGAGACTCTTGAAAGGGTTGACCATGTCAGCGACACGTTCAAGATGCACAATTCGTGGCTCGGGGGAGGAACCTTGGTGGACGGCCCGTTCTACCTCGAGAACCAACCAACCTATGCTGGATGCACACTAGAGCGTCATAAGGAAGGTGTGCACCTGTTCGGTGTTGAGGCTGCAAGACATTCCGAGCAACTCCTGTTCGCCTGCCACATCTACAATGCCGGACTCAAGAACGGGCTGCTGCGACGGTGGCCTGACATGGAATATCTTATCGCCAAGCAAACCGAGACGCACATCTTTCTAGGAACCCGTCCGGTCGGATACGAAGAGTGCGATAAGCGGCTACTTCTGATGCGAGGATTCAGTCCCAGTGTGCTTGCTAAGCATAAGCGCGCCGGCAGACCAATGTATGAACTGTACGAGACGATGGATACAAAGAAGAGCTTCGGCGGTCGCAAACTGGAAATCTTCTCCGCTTTCGTTAGACAGGCTTCCGCTTTTGACGGCCTAAAGCGGGTGATGCTGAAGATGGACGAGAATGGCAAGAATAAGAACGAGCCGATCTGGCTTCTAGAGCGCGTAGTCCGACATCGACTGGAAACTGTGTCGAAGACGTCGAAGCATGGCAAGCGTCGTGAACAGGAGCTCAGTCCTCTCCAGACGCTAGAGACTTACCGAGACGCAATGAAGGAGGATGAATTCCTTCTAAATTTCGACATCATGACGCTAGATCTCATCGCCAACAAAATGATCCATGTGATCAAAGCCTGGTTGCGAGACTTTGGAGACTTGAAAGCTAGCTCGGTTCCTGGATCCAAAGTCAGTCTGAAATGTATCCGAGACATCGCAATGGCATCTGCGATCTTGTCCTCTGCAAACAAGAAGCCGGAGATATGGGACGTCCTCGATCACATCATCAGTCGCGTCGGCAACATGTGTTACTTGCGCGCAGAGGCCCATCGCGGTACCGTAAACCTTCAACCCCGCAACCCGGCCTATGAAGGCCAGTTTCTTCCTACTGCTGCTGTCTTTGGTGGTCCGAACTCGCCCGAGGTCCCTGAAGACTGGCAGAACAAGTGGGATATCGTCGCTGGTAAAGGGGCGTATGACTATCATGTCTCTACTACGGCGCTTTTGACATTGGAGCAGAGAGCCGCCGACGAGGCGCGTGAGGAGTTCTTGGAGAAGCTCATTCCTATCAACTACCCAGACTACAGCCAGGAACAAATCTGTCGAGGTCTCGGAATGGAGTACAAGGATGTCAAGCGATCGTTTCTCGTGCATTAACGGGAGTCTTTTTGTCTACATGTCGTCTGCCTTTTGGTAGTGCGTAGATTTGACGGATGCAATCGTTTCGTCATCGCAGTCACGACCCATGTGGAAAGTGATAATAACGGAAATTAAAGGGTGACTGGTGTTAGATGAACGTGTCCTGTACTGCGATGAGCGTAAAGATTGCAGAAGAAGAGGCGTTTTTGTATTGCCCACCCGAAGAGGGATAAGACGAAATGAGATGACGTAATCACCGCCGATCACACGCGCGCGGCTGGACGCGACCCCACGCTTCCAACACGCGTCAAGATGCTTACACATCGTGATGCCGCCCAAGAGAGGTGCGTATACCATCAAGAGCCTTGAGACGGGCTGTATTGACGTGATCAGCTCCCAAACGCAAGGCTACCGATGATGCAACAGTCAGTCGCAATGCCAACACCGCCAAACGAGTCGCGCAAGAGAATGCGAACTTCGGTACTCCAAGAGAGTGGCCGGTTGAAGCCAGGAAAGGAATAAAGAATGCGCTCGAATCTTCTCTTTTACCGAATGCCGGCCAACCGGTCTCCGATGAATCAGATTCCGGCGACTCAGAGCTCGACGATTTCGAGGTTGAGGGTGATGGCTTTGACGCGGCCATCAAGGTGGAAGAAGAGCACGAGAAGCGCGTTGAAAGAGCGCACAAACATCTAGCGATAAGACTTCATCGAGAAGAAGAAGTGGAAGTCGGTGGCATACGAGGCGAATGGGACCTCTACTCTCCCAACTATCTTGTCCTCTACGAAGTCGACAGCCGAGCTTTGATATACACTGGACAGTTCAACTTCCATCATTGGAAGACGGGGAAGCTTGTTATCGGAGACCACAGTAACGATACAGCGCTCTCTTCGATGGAAGCCACTGCAAAGCTTTCCCTCACCGGCCTCGAGAACGAATGGCACCTGCCCCTCAACCTCCCCAAAGCCTCGTCTGTGGAGCTACAACCACTCCAAGGCATCCGCCAAAACTATGAAGGCGCTGGAAACCCCGAGGTTCGACTCGGTATATCCTTCCTAGGAAACGGCTACCTGAAGATGCGGATACCAGGCATATACATTGCTGGGAAGAAGGGATGGAGAAGACATCTTACCTTTTACGGCATCAACCGCACGTGTCCGCCACGAGAGGTGGAGAGCCCTGAGCCACTGCCACGACCTGCGACACCACCGCCACCAGAGGGGTTCAAGTACGGCAAGAGAGGCAATCTGGTTCGTATATCGAAGTCGCGATCGAAGCCAGCGCCGCAGCCAGTACCGGTCGAGACTGTAGATGATCCCGATGATCAGCTGGTGGCTTCGGATGAAGAACTGAGGCGAAGGTTGCTTGAAGAACTGGATGATAGCTTGTTCATCAACTGGCCGGAGAACAACTAGGGACTGGAGCATGATCGATATCCCTACCTGTTCGTACGACCGATGTGTGCAATGCAGTATTTGCACATGCCATGGTCCAATCGGATGATTCTGCCAAAACTACTCCTAGGCTTGCCGGGCCGAGTGTGCATCTTGCACAGCGGGACGATGCTTCCGGTTGGTGTTACACACAGCCTCGTTTGTCCCCGCGCATGAGTGGCGTGGTACAGACTTACGTGTTACGCTCTTAGCCAATGAAATCTCCTGCAAGTAGGCGCGCGCTGATACGCCATAGAAGATGCAAGGAGGGCGCGTTCAAGAGTATACCTTGGCCGCCATCCTCTTGAACTCTGGATCGTCCATACACGTACCACGGTCGGGCTACCTACGACTGCCCCACTTTGTATAAGAGCGCACCCTCCTAGTGTCTTCTGGTCACACAAATCTTCACGCATTGCAAACATTTCACACCCGCCGGACCTTCTCCTCCACTCCGTCATCCGTAGCAATGGATGTTTGCAAAGATCTCGATCAGTATGCGCAGTTCATGCAAAAGCACAGGCGTACACTCCAAGACGCTAAGAAGAAGCGAGGCCAGCGTCCCCACGATCGGAAAGACAGAGACACGATGCTGTTCGAGTTCATGATGGCGTCAATGTCAACTGCACAGATGAGTGATAGGGCTAATGACAATGGCGAACAACAGATACAGTCGTCGTTCGTTCCACCAGCTTATCTACCTTGCACCACCCCTCTCGACGGTTTGAAGCCTATCATGGTCGAAGACCTTCGGCTCGAGACGCATCATCGCGGTCGCTATCTGACGTTGAGAGCCATCACGCCGCCTAATCGTATGACAGCAATTCTTGTTATTGCGGAAGACGAGCGCGGTGAGGTCACGTTATTGCAAATGTACCAGCAGGAGGACGAAACTAGCCATCCAGCCGTTGATGTTGTCGACAAGGGCTCGATTCTTATCGTGAAGGAGCCCTTCTTCAAGGTTACGGCTTCCGGAGACTACAGCCTGCGGGTGGATCATCTTTCTGATATCATCTTCCTCACCGACGAGGAAACCATGACACCTGCGTCATGGAAGCCCAGACTGCTAGAGATGAGCAGAACAGCGGAGTCATTGAAGTTGGAGGGGAACACTCTCATAAAGAAGGAGAGGTACTGGCGAGCTATTGAGAAGTGGGTGGGATCTACATTGAGCAAGTGGCTGTGCTAATATACATGCCAGGTATTCGGACGCCCTGGCGCAAACAGCTACGCCTAACGAAGTCGAAGTAATCAGGCGGAACAGATCACTAGCATACCTCAAAACCAAACAATATGATGCTGCGCTTGCCGACAGTGGCTACCCATCCTTCAGCGGAGAGCCCTCGGAGAAGGGAATGTTCCGTGCAGCTGAGGCACTGTACCATCTTACTCGTTATAACGATTGCCGTCAAACCCTCGAAAATCTTTGCGAACACTTCCCGGCCAACAAAGAAGCAGTTGCCACACTTACGCGTGCTCAACGTCGATGTGTTGAGAGTAGCACCGGCCAATACGACTTCAAGCTCCTTCAAGCCGAAGCAAAAAAGCATCGTCCTCCCCACCTGGATCATGCTACATACGTGGGTCCGTTGGAGGTTCGCAAAGTAAGAGGAAAAGGCCGCGGCTTGTTCCTTACTCAGCCCGTGAAAGTCGGAGATTTGTTGCTGTGCGAGAAGGCATTCAGCCATGCTCATGTTGACGAAGAGAACAAAGGCAACGCAAGAATTTCCCTTTTGATGAACGTCGAGACGGATAAAAGCTTTCTTGGAGGCCAGGCTGATCTCATTCAGCTGATCACGCAAAAGATGTTCAAGAACCCTTCCACGGCCTCTGCGTTTATTGACCTTTACCATGGCGCCTACGAAGCAGTCGATGCAGAATTTGTCGATGGCCAGCCGATCGTAGACACGTAAGTCCTTCCTGAACCCGAAGTCAAGCAACTTGACATATTGACACTAACTTGTCCAGCTTCCTCGTTGAACGAACAATGACCCTCAACGTCTTCGGTAGCCCCATCACAAGCCTGAACAGCTACAAAAGGCTCAAAGACAGCAAGGAATCGAAAGAGAAAGCCTTTCATTCCTGCGGCATATGGATCAAAGCCTCGTACATCAACCACAGCTGCCTCGGCAACGTCCGTCGCTCATTCATTGGCGACATGATGATCGTACGCGCAAAGAAAGATATGGAAGCTGGTACGGAGTTGTCGTTCCCATACGAGGCCCCGCATGGCCACTACACTTCCAAGGTCGACCAAAAGTTCAAGAACTGGGGCTTCGTTTGCAATTGCCCGCTCTGTGAAGACATCAAGAGCACCAAGGCCTCCGAAATCACGAAGAGGCGAACCTTGCTCGAGCAGCTGGATCGGCTTTGCAAGTCATCGTCGAGGGGAAATGCTTTCAATGCGAAGTTTGAACGCTTGCTCAAGGCCCTCAATGAGACGTATTCGCGTCCCGTTGAAGAGGTACCTCGACTCCTGCTCTGGGATCCGCAGCTGTTGTTGACCCGAATCTATATGAGACAACCTGATCTCACCAAGGGACTGGAATCAGTGGCTTGGATCCTCCAAAGCTTGGTTTTCACCGTCACTGGACTCGATCGTACTCCTGCAGCTTTCTTGGTTACGAGGTGGGGTCATATAGTGGACCATCTAGTGGAAGCCTTCCTACATGCACGATCGGCATTTGAGCAGTTGAAGTTGGGGGACAAGGCGAAACAGGCGGACCAGTATGCACGAGTGGTGTATCGAGTCGTGGTTGGGGAAGATACGTCGTTCGAGAAGACGCATCCTATGTCTTCTTAGGTCTTCGGATGAGCGGTTACATGGCAATTCAAACCACAACACACTTCACCTTCACTCCATGCACCAAGCATACATGCGGTCGCTCTTCTAAGGCACGGCAGCTTGCAGCAAACACCTAAGCACAATCATTTCGTCCAAACACTTGTCAAGCACTGCACAATGTTATTTGAACTTGATCATGACCACACGCCTGCTGAATTATCTGCTCGGTCGTGACAGACAGCATCCATCGCTCTAACCAACCAAAATGGGCAACTGTCTGTCTCGGTTTGCGAAGCAAAAGACGACACCAAGACTCCTAGCCCTTTCCCGCAAAATCCGAAACTCCATCTACTCCCACATCCCCCGTGATCTGAACATCGAATGGCTCTGGGACACCCAGGGAACCACCGGCACCAACGATCCCATCTACGACGTCATCCAAGTAACCTTCTACAACGCGCCTGAGCCCGGCGTACTAGCAGCATGTACCCGTCTACACGAGGAGATGCTGGAGCAAGACCAATTACACAGCAAAGAGCTATCCGTCTCCATCACCATGCTGAACCGAGCGACAATACCAGGGTCAACAGAAGAGGTAGAAGAGATGCAGCAGAAGCAACACGAAGCCACCCGCGCACGCATCAAAACCGGCTTCCGCAAAGTCCTCCACGCCACCATCTGCATACGCGACATAACCCCCATCCCGCCCTGGGGCCCAAGCAGTACGACTAGACTACTTCGGTGGTCTTTGACTAATATACTTAGGATACAAACACTTCCCCTTGCGCTTTGCCATTCCTCTGTTGTGAGAGACGAAAAGCTTACGCGGGAGATCTTGCCGCGCGATCCACGAAATCAAGAGTTCCCGACTGTCTTTGCGGATCCAATGGTGGTGTTGCAACGCGGTTGGGGCCTTCGCATTGGGTGTCATTCTATGAGCGCGGCGTCTGAATGGTCACAGAGCCCTTCTAGGCGAATTATACGACATGATCTTGATCAGGTGTATGTGTACATGTATGCTCGGTCGGGCGTGGGGAGGGAAAGTCTTCCGTACTGGACGGTGGAGGATATCGTAGAGTATTTCCCTGTTGCAGAGTATAATGAAGCACTGCTGCGGGATGTGAGCGGAGAAACAGCCGATCGTGTACGAGGGTATCTATCGCGGGTGGTTAATTGGTTTGAGCAGCGTAGAGCAAGGAGAAGTGCGAATTGGGTAGCAGTGTGATGGGTGTTCAAGATCACACCATGCTCGCCGAATGTGGAAATACAACAAAATATCATTCAGGTCCAATCCGGAGGGTAAGACCCCGCCAGTTCAAAAACACCAGCCCAATCCCAACATAGGTATAGTATCAGAAAATCCTCGTCCAAACTCTTCATCACCTTACAACCCCTCCCTGAACACACTCCTCCGACTCTCCGTCGGGCTGTTCTCTACACTATCCACACTGCCCGCTTTCTTGTGCTTGCTCACACTGGGCATGGTGGCCGTAGCACCACCCCGATAACTCGTATCCGCATCGAGCACCGGCCTGGGACTCACACCCCTCAGACTCGCCGCATTATCGTCGCCAAACGGATTCCTCCCACTCTGCGCATCGAGATGTTCGTCGTAGGAATCGCGTGTGCGGCTGCGTCCGCGACTTGGCTCGACATTGTTATACGGCGTAGGATTCGCATACGGATTCGTAGTCTGCCCGCCATGGGTAGACGCCGGTTCATGAAGCCCAAGTTCCTGCTCTTCATAGTATGCCTCGTCGCCCACGCGCGAACTCCACGCCTCATCAGGATCAAGACGACTTCCCGCGCCGCGGCCCCCGCCGACGCCGCGCCCGCCGCTGTAGCCGGCGTCTTCGTAGCCGCTACCCGTTGTGTACCGGTTATTTCTGTTCTTGAACTTGCGCACCTGGGTGTCGAACCAGCCTTTGATGCCGGTGGGCGCGGGACCCGGGTAGTTTGAGGTTGCGCCAGCGTCAGAGGAGCGGCTAAAGGCTACCATTGGGTTCATGGAGGGTGGAGGTAGGCCATTGCGGGAGGCGTTCCATCGGGCGTAGAAGTACCAGCCGAAGTAGGAGAAGGAGAGCAGGAGGAGCAGGATGATGATGAAGACTAGCCAGCCGTTCATGGTGGCGGTGGTCGTGTGGGTTGTTGTGGGGAGGGCTTAGGGTCGCATGTGCGGTTTGCGTGTGGTGGGCTCGATTGCGCGGATCCGATGGGTTTGCTGTCGCTGATGCGGACAGTCGTGTCGACAAGGGCAGGAGGCGATGGGCCTGATGGTGTCCCGACAGGCGTGGAATGCGACGTCGGCTGGCTGCGCCGCAATGTCAATTTGTTGGTGTAGCTGGCAGGCGCGGCTGAGTTCCTCCAGCCCAGGCGGCTGCGTAGTATCGCCAAGTGATGACGTAACACTTGCTGACGCCGCTGCCCGAATCTAACAACTGTTGAATTGACGGAGAAATCCTTTGCGATGATAACAATCACGGGAAGTAATGTTCAGCCCCTATCATTAAAATCTGTTCCGACAGAATAGTTTCAGATTGATGCGTGCTTTTCGTCTCACGACGAGGCCGTTATTGAACATGACGCACGCGGACTAGCGTCTACCGCAACGAAAAATGGGGCAGGTGGGATTGCGCGATTGGGCAGCCAGCCTATCACGCCTATCTCCACACCATGGCGTGGGTGACATTGCATCTCGTGGGAACTGGACGTCTGTCCCTCGGATCAACTTCCGGTCATATTTGGACTGATCATCATCTTACTCATTTGCGATCGCACTACAGTAAAAAGTCCGGCCGAGTCATTGTTTACACTAGGCTGCCATCATGAACAGATCTGGCGGGGACGATCAGCATCGCAAGATCGTGTTCACGACTCAAAGCGTCCATGGCGAGTCAGAGGCGGTTGTTACATTACAAGAGCACAAAGATCCTACGAGGCCACCTTTCTTGATCAGTGTATCAACAAGACCTCGCGATAAACAACCACCGTTCTCCCCACCCGAAAAGCGCGAGACTCATGTTATCATCTCGAGTGGCTCCGGTCATGGACTCGCGGATGAGTTCTACTCCAGCGCCGTCCGCCCGATCCTCGAAAGCATACATGGAAACAAAGGCGTCGAAGAGTTGAAAGTACATACCACGGAATCGCCAACCAGCATCTTGGAAATCACAGACAACGTCCTGTTTCCAGCCGCCAATCAAGGAAAAGCCATCCGCATCATTCTCCTCTCAGGCGACGGCGGTATTGTAGACCTCGTAAACGGCCTCTCATCCCAAACACCAAATCCACAAACCTACATCCCCCCACAAGTCGTCATCCTCCCTCTCGGCACAGCAAACGCACTCTACCACTTCATCAACGCCGGAGGATACGACACATGGGGTCTCCCCGCCCTGACATCATGGAAAGCAAAACCCCTTCCCACATTCACAGCGACCTTCTCCCCCGGCGCCCGCCTCCTCATCGACGAAGGCCGACAAGAGCAAGAACTACCCAAAGATCCACAGGGTAACGGCATTCTTCACGGCGCCGTCGTAGCATCCTGGGGCATGCACGCCTCCCTCGTCGGCGACAGCGACACAACCGAGTACCGCAAGCACGGCGTCGAGCGCTTCAAGATGGCCGCGAAAGAAGCTTTGTATCCAGCCGATGGCTCACCGCCCCATCCGTACAAAGGCAAAGTATCTATCCTCCAAGAAAAGGATCGTTGGACCGCTCTGCCGGAAGAAGAGCACATGTACATCCTCGCAACCATGGTCTCGCATCTCGAAAAACCATTCTGCATCTCCCCTGCTACTAAGCCGCTAGACGGGAGTATGCACCTTGTTCATTTTACCCCGAGGAGTGGCGATGAGGTCATGGGTATCATGAATAAGGCGTATGATGGGGGTAAGCATGTTGGGGATGGGGATGTGAGGTATGAGAGTATTGATGGGCTGAGGATTGAGTTTCAGGGCAAGGAGGAGGATGAGAGGTGGAGGCGGATATGTGTTGATGGAAAGATTGTAAGGTTGGAGAAGGATGGGTGGGTTGAGGTTAGGAGGGTGGAGGAGGGGGGTGGGAAGGGGGTGTTGGATGTTGTTGTTGTTTAGGGTGGTGTTGTTGCGATTGAGGGGAGGGATGGTCGGTTGATATCATTTGGATGGATGACTTTGTGAGCGCGCGACTGTGTCCGTCGTCATTGTGTTATCTGCTGCAAGCCACTCTGTATGGGAATCGCAAGACATCATCTCATTGAGTACAGCCCACACAAACCCGCCCCGTCCCCTTCACTTCTGCAACCCCCCGCATACGCTCTCACTTCACTTCCGTCCGCAATACCGCCACCCCTCACCCTCACCCCCAGATCCACCCCCATATATCGATCACTCCTTACTCATGTATATATATCTTCTAACTTCTAAAACTACCCATCGAACGCGACTGCGGCCGCAGAGCAGTTTGGTCCCCCCGCTGTCTCCCCTTCACTAGGCCCCCCGCAGTTATCTCCCCTTCACTGGGCCCCCCGTTAAGACAACAGCCGAGTTCGAAACTCTGGTCGTTCCTCACTTTTTTGCCAATTTTTTGAACTTGGTCCGCAGGTGAATACCGTGTCGCTACACCCTACCCCGCCCCTTCACTCACGTCGCTCTTCTTGCCTTGCTGTGCGTCGACTGCCTTCGGCTTCTACTTGGGTTATCCACTCTTGCGGAAGGTCTAGTATGCTCTTCACCATTCCGTCCTGCTCTTTCTCTGTCAACATGCGCCTGCTAACGTTGAGGAAATGCGCCTTGAATGTGTGCCATAATTCAGTGTCAGCATGTGTATGGCCGTAGGCAAAAGGTCGAGGGAAGTACGGGTCGTTGCGCCAGAAAGCGTGGACTGCTTGGGCGATACCACTTGCGTCTTGACTCATGGTACGTACGCAGTCGTAGTCCAGCATCCAGATGACGAGCTCTTGATCTAGCAGTGTGAAGATGGGCGTTGACGAGTTTCGTCTGTACTCTTCTTGGGCGGTAGCTGGCGCGAGCACAAACTCCACGTCGTTAGCATCGACCTCAGCCTTCCAGTAACAATACGCGAGCGCCTCGGCCAGGGTCTTCGCGATGACAACAGGATCCAGACCTAGCTCTTCCATTTGATCGACGCAAAGACCATAGTTGCGCAGGTTGAAGAACATGCCAGGCGGGCGTCCTTCTGGTCTCCGTTTGCCCGTGTACACTCGAATAAGGCAATCTTCATTCTTCTTGCTCGTCCTCGTAGCCTCCTTCAGCGTCTCGCGACAATATCTGTCGATAAGCATCTCGCGGATAGGCAGTCCTACAGCAGGTATCCTCTCCTGCTTGTAGCTCCTGCTCAGCTCTTCACCTGGAGGTAAGCAAGTGAAATTGTTATCCCACCAGCCATCATCAGCCTCCAAGACCTCGTAAGACTGCGGTATGCGCACAGGAAGCGTATTTGTGGTGTCTGCTGCGATAATTCGTCGATGCATAGTGTAGTCGTTTAAGACGGAGCGGTTTGTATGCATGAGTTCGCGTTTGATGACCCAGGTATTGGCTCCGCGGATCCAGATGCTGCCGCAGCATCCTCGGCCTATTTCACGGAAGGGGCCTCTGGGGTTGGGGCGTGTTGTGTTCATGTTTGTGGGTGTGTGGTTGAATTGTGAAGGTGCGTGGATGGTGGGCTTTATACTCGCCTGTGACTCACACAGACGCCGTGTGGGCGTCCCCGTTGTATTGGAGTTGAGTAGCCATCCTATGGTTCACGATGGGTTGTACCTAGGTAGACGAATTACGAGCCACGTGATACCAATCCTCGGGCGAAATTCAAGCTGGTAGGACTGGGACTGCTGCGTCTCGTCCACAGCGAGCCTTGTCCGGTGAGCTTAGTGTAGCGTGACAGTCCTTGCGCATAGCCGAGCATGGCGTCGTTGAAGGGTTGTGTTGTCGTGGTTTGTCCTACGAGAGGCGCATGGCATGAACCACGGTCGAGGTTGCGGTAGCTCCTGCCTTGGAGCCAAACAAGCGTCAGGGTCATCAGGGTCTCGACAAAGGCAGGAACAAAACTCTGCGACTCGCTCCGAGATGTTTCACCTCCTACACTCACCATCTTCGTTCTCACCCATTCGCATCGTTTCCATCTTCTTTTTTGTAGCCAGATCGTTCGAGTGGACACCTCGGAACGTTTCGAATGGCACTAGAACACGCTCCCTTGGTTTACTGGCAGAATGGTACCAGTCGCATTCATGCACCGTCCTGCTTTCATCGACCTTCGGTCGCATGTCGATAAGGGATCTGTTCTTAGCTGCTACAAGTACCACCGAACAGGCTACCACGATCGTCAAAAGGAAGTACACTCTTGACTCTTTATCAATGCGAGCAACTGCGCTTTCACGAGAACGACAACCCGCGACTGTTGAACCCTTGGCTACACTCCCATACTTGTCGGCATCCAGGGGCTCCGCGGGGTCGAGGAGATTTGTTGCCTCAGGTCTTGTTGTTTCCGAAACATGATTATGCCGTCACGTCGAGGATCTCAATCTCTCCCATCGCAACTTCGAACGGTCCATCGCCGCTGCGAACGTGGCATCTCACTAGAGGAACGACAGTAGGATTATTTGTCCTAGGCTCAGCCACATGGATGCTAGTCGTCGCGTCCGCCCAGGAGCACAACTTGGCGCGGTCACGCTACGCCTTCGGATGGCCACGATTCCGGCGTTAGGCAAAAGCAAAGAAAAGCACCAAGGACATCAGCACTGGCGTCGCGGCATGTGTCGAGCTCTGGCTTGGTGATTCGAAGCCATGTACGGCTTGCGACGGTGAGAGCTGATGAAGTTCAGATTTCCTGCCCCCACCAGCAGCACCTGCATGGAGCTGACAGTTGCCGGCGACCAGCTGCAAGCCTATAATTAGGCTGATCCACAGCGGGCGCCAACCGCCCTACAGGGCCGCAATGATGAAAGCGATCGAAAGCAGACCGCATTGTCAAGCAAACCGCGCTCGCAAGTCATTAATCGCATCAACTGCAGCAGGGTAGCAGAAAAAGAAGATTACTCGTGCATCTTGGGTGTTTCTGACATCACATGCACGTGCATGACGCGTTTCGTCACGGCGATCTTGGGCTGACGACCCGGCCACGGCTCAGCGCCTGCAAACCTACTTACACAAGCAGGGGTACCGTCAGCAACGTCCTTATTACTACCCACCTTTGCCGTCGTGGCGCAGCCTCTTCTTTCAAATCGCAACCTCGAGCAATTGACGCAGAAATCTCACACTTACATCGGCCCTACTCGACACTGATCGCCCACCATGAACATGATGCGCAAGAAGACGCAGTATGTGCAAATCACACCAATACCGTCGTTCATACCGCGCCAGCTCGCAATCGACTTCCTCCACAGCCACGGCGAGATCATCGAGCTGAACCCCCTCGTCACCGGCCACGAGCCCATCAAAGCACCGCGCGACGCTCCCGCAGACGAATACTACTCAACATGGTACGAGATATCGCAGCGCATACAGTACATACCCGGCATTGGCAAGATGGGCAGCGGCGCAATCAAGTTCCGCGGTGTCTTCCACGACCTGCCGTTTGGGCTCCAGACACACACCTACGCGCCTGCGAATGTCGACCTGCGCCAGAAGTGGCATATTGGCGGCAACCAGATTGGCGAGCCACCTGAGCCGAAAGAGCTGGGCTCTTCTGCGCCACCAGAGGGCCTTTACATTCGCCAGGATGTAGAGATCAAATGCAACGTCGCCATGATGAACTTTGTAAAGAAGGAAATGAAGGCAGCTTGCACGATCATGATCGAGCGGTTGGTCAAGAAGGCGGAGCTGCTAGACTCGGGCGCACTCCAGGCGATGATGGAGAATGGGCGCATGAAGACGGTCAACCCAGCTGATCGCTCTACTTACGGTCACACGCCACCACAACCATCGCCGACCCAACCCTACCAGATGCCCATGTCACCGCACAGGCAAAGCCAACAATGGGCGCAGCCCGCGCAGCAGCCCGGCCCTCCTGTCCCACCAAAGCAGCTCCTAGGCACGAATGACGTTGTCATGGAACTACCGGGCGACTTCTACCACCCCCAACCGTCTCCATCCCACCTCTTCCCTCACGATAACCGCGCGTCCTCTGCCTCCGAGCCATCGCAATACTCGCCAAACCCGCAAGATGCACGCTGGTCGACCGCATCGCACAGCACCGCCAGCTCACGCCCCAGCTCGTATGCGCCATCAGAGGGCATGAAATCGCCAGGGCTAGAACAAAAGGCATTCGCAGCCGAGCTGCCAACGATGGAAGAGACAAAGGAAGAGCACAACAGCCACCAGAGGCGGCCAAGCGGCCAGCAGGGCCAACAGGCATATGCATACAACCCACAGGACTACGCGCGGGCGCCCGGGCAACAGCAGTATGCCAACCCGCCCTACCCGGTATATGGGCCACGGTAATTGACGAATGTTACACTTTGGTGTTTTCTTGAATGTACACGCGCAGTAATGTTTTTAAGAGTTTGGTGTCCGTAAGGCAGGGCGGCTGTTTCTCTAGCTCTTATCATGATTTACGACTTTTTGCGGAATGCTTTTCAGATATCCCCTTCCGTTGAGTAATGCAATCATATTATTTCTATGTCTACGAACTTGTCACCAAGGATCAACTGTTCAGTGCTGTGTAGCGTCTCGGTATCCTGGGTATCAAATCTTGACTAGACGCGAATCGCCAGAAAGTCCCCAGATACTGTTCGGTGCTGAACACATCCGCCATCTTCTCGCCATTTGTGATACTTCACTATACTTGCGTTGGGATTGGGATGGTGATTTGACTGAGGTGTATTACCTCGTGATTGAGATGTTGAATGATATCTCGTTGTAATTCATACCCGGCAGACAGTGCGTGGTGCTATGTCGCTATGGTTAGTGCTGACATGAACCCATGGAAATATGTCTATGTTGCTCTGATATCTCTTCTCTGGCGTCCACCCATACTTAGAGGTACTCTCAGACTGACCGAGAATCAAGGTTCTATTCTTCATACTCGCTTGCTCATATCGACTCACACTCCTCGCTAGTTAAATTGCAGCTGTTTCATTGTAGATGCCTTTTCATATAATTCTCACTAGAATCCGACTTTACATGGAGTGGCTGGGAATAACATCGCCATCAGCTTGGCAGATTCACTCATACTGATTACCAGCAATCATCGAATAGATGCCCACTGTCCGAGGAGCTCTCGTGGTAAGCAACGATGAACAATATCCAAAGACGGAATACATCGTACACTCCTGTTCGTCTGTTCAGAAGGCAGAGAACGACTGAAATACTAGCGTAGACTGCAGAATAAGGTTCAACGTCTCTCTTTCTGTCTAATATGTTTCAATAGAAAGCTTTCGTAAAGCTTAGGTCCTACAATGCATGTACCTACCTGCATTATACCATAGGGTCGATCGTGTCACCCATTCCAGCGCTTCGCAGTACATATCCACATCAACTGGGCTCAACAGCACCGAAGGATAGCTTGTATGTTTGTGATACAAAAACCATAATGTAATCAGCCTGACGTCACAACATAACAGCAGGCCCTCGCTACTACGCTGCGTGACTGCGTGACTGGCCCGTGCGTCAATACACGGTCACGTAGACTTGCTACTCCCACATGACAGAAGCTCCACTTCATCCACAATAAACCAGCTTGATACCTCTGAATTGATCTTGGCTAACCCGACGTACCATCTACACTGACTCTCGCAGACATGTCACGGCAACCCAACATGCGAGACCGCGGCGCACCACAACCAGGTCCGTACGGTCCAAACAACCCTCCACCGCCTCCGTCCGAGCCCCCACCGAGGGGACCCAGAGAACACGAAGACCGGGGTAGAGGTGTTGACGATGTCGAAGGCGAGAAGATGCAAGGTCGACGCCGTCCGCAGCTCGCTGTACGAAAACGAGATTACGCACGGGCGGAAGAAGAACTGCGAGTGAGACAGCGAGATCGTGATCGGAGTCGTTCGCCTGCCCGTCGTCAAGATCCACGCGATGAGCAAGATTGGCGTGGCGAGCGAGCCCGGTATCGAGAGCGATCGCCGCTGCGTCGGGAGCCCGTCGACGTGGAGCCGCAGCGAGAGGACCGGAAGCCAGAGAACGCGGAGTCCCTACGGTGCTTTGCTTGTAACAAGAAAGGTTGGTTGTATAGTTGCAGATTCCCAACTCTTCCTTGCTAAGACTATCAAGGGCATAGGGTTGCTGATTGCAAAGCCGCCTTCACTGATAAGAAGGGTTGTTTTCGGTGTGGAGAGCAAGGACACATCGCTCGTGCTTGCAAGGTCCGAGTTGGCCAGAGCAAGACTGATGCTGAGGTTGCGGCCGATGAGGGGAAGGCTATGGCTGGTCGATACGGTGGCCGCGATGACGATAGGCATTGGTCGCCCAGGCAGGATGCTGCCTTCCGAATCAGTCGCACGAGAGATACCAGCCGACTGGAAGCTCACATCCAGCAAGCGTACGGCCAAGATCAAGATGCGCAGCAACATCATCAGGAGCACTTCAGTGAGGCGCCTTCGCGTTCAGAGTACTTCGTCGAGGACGAAGTGGACTGGGACGACGATGCTTTAGAGACGGCCCATGTTGCCCCCGCGGTGAGAATGAGTACTGGTCGGAAGATGCCACAGCCTGAGTATCCGAGGCACGAGGAGCCCTACCGTCAACAGGAAGTCCCCGAATTCCCTTCTACAACCACTCAGCATGCGCCAGTTCAGCCCACGCACCGCAGATCCAGTCAAACGCCCAGCACGGCAAAGTCAGCCAAAGAGCCCAAGCTAGGACTACCGCACCTCCAGAACCCAGAGAACGGGGAGTTCCCGCCGACAGTGCACGACCTTCGCGGCTACGACTACCGCATCTTCGCCACATATGCCGCCAAACCCAAGTCCCAGCGCTTCGTCAACGGCGCCAACGGCAAGATCGCACCGGGCATGTACGGCTCCGAACAACGCCACGATCTGGGACTTTGCTTCACCACGTACCTTACGAAGAAACGTTGTGAGATGGGTGTCAAGTGTCCCTGGCGCCATCACCCGCTTTCGAACACTGAAAAGGCTTGGATCATTGAGTACGGCAAGCAGAAGGGCAAGGAGTTCATTGAGAACGTGGACCGGTGGTGGGCGTTTCCTGAGGTAAGTCGTATGATGTCATGTTTTCCTTGAGCTTCACTGACTGTAATAAGACACCGGTGCCGGGTACTTCTATGCAGGGCCTGGGTGACGGCGAGAACTAGGTAGCTGTGCTTATCTGGAGTTGTTGGATACCGGGAGCTTGGCTTGTACGGGCCCTTGGTTGATATTGGACGACAGTGAGATGAGTCAGTCCAGGCGCGCTGACATTGATTGGAGAAGGCTATGTGAGAGCTCCGCCTCGTGTATGATACCAACCCCGTATGTCATCGATGCCTTGAAGACCGATGAGCATCATGTTAGCAAAGGCATCAAGATCATCCGGCTGCGCACCCCTCAAGACATCCGTGAAGTCCAGCTCTTTGATAACAAAGTGACTCTTGCTATTCCACGCCATGGCAAAGTCAAAAGCACTGGTGGCTTTCCACAAGTGCGCAGAAAGCGTGACGCGGTTCTTCAAAGAGAGCTCTTTAGCGCAAGACCTCATCTGCCCGCTCAGCAGGGTGTATATGACGGTTATGTGGAAAGCTACCAAGGCCGTACGTCTGGCTGACTCACGGAAGATGTACGACTGCCAGGCTGAGCGAGCGGCTGTACTGGGATAAAGCGGAAGGGTGGCTGGAAGCTCAGGATCCTCTGCTGCGATGGGTAGAAGGACGACACCCACATCTTCCAGATGCGGTATCAGTGTGTCGGCTCGAGCGTATAGTCGTATGTCACCGCCAAAGATGAGCATGATCTCATACAACATCAGAGCCTGTGTGCGAGCTAGAACCTCGATGGGCGTAGTCGGTATAGGAGTGGTTATAAGGTCTTCTGCGCGACTTGTGATGTACCGTGCGACGTGCTCAGCATTGTTGTCATTCATGGTAACATAAAGGGCACATGCCGCATGTGCGTCTTGTAATGATCGTGGCATGTGGTCTTCGTAAAGCAAAGAGTGAGCCCATGGTGTGCAGCATTGCTCTACCATCATCTTTGGCGCGAGTTTGACGAGCTCGATTGAGTACTCCACTCTGGACTTTGCGAAAGGCGACAGGTGTCTCGATGAGAAGGGCTGGCTCACTGGGGTATGAGCTTTTTGTAAGGTCATTTGATCTTCCTGGTGAGCTGGTGTGTTCAGCATGTCTATGAGCGCGTCGAGAGAGTCTGTCGTGGTGCAGAAGTCGAAGTCTAAGATGTCTGCGGTGGGGTTGGCTGGCATGCCAGCTAGGTCGAAGTCGAAAGCAAAACCGCCATCATCAATCTCTGGCATCTCCATTGGAGCATTGGATCGGCTCAAGTCAGTTGGAGTTGCAGATGTGTCTTTTTGCGAAATCGCGGCCTGCGGCCGAGGCTGTGGAGGGTAGACGCATGGCAAGTGCTGTCTAGCGCATCGTGCGCAATGAGGCTGCTCGAGACCGCATTTACGTTTCGCCTTTGCGCATTCTGAGCATGACTTCTGCCTACCTTGTGAGTTGGTTGTGCGCGTTCGATCTGGTGGCATGATAGACGCGACTGTCGCTGGCGAGGAAGGAGGTGAGGCTTGCCGCGCCGCCGCCGCCGATCTTGGCCTGCATCATCGTTAGTCAGCGCTAGTGGGTCGCCCCATCCCAGCTCGGACGACACCTGAACTCCTCACAACCACCGTGACATAATGGGTGAACTATTTACCACACCCTTCTTGCGGATCTATGCTACTCAGGCTCATCTTTCACTGTTTTGCGCTTGAGCAATGACTGCATGTCAATGCTTTTGGGAACCTAATGTTTTCAGTATCGACGCGGAATCATGCCGACCGAGCTATCATCAAAATTTATTACCCAATGTCTGCCTTCTACTTCAATGTCGCTGGATACATTTCCCCGATCTTGTTCGCTAACAGTCCTGCTTCTCTACCAACGGCTTGTTCACAAGGACATCCTGCAACCTCTGGTGTATGGCAAAATGTGACGCCACGTGGAATGGCTCAATCTGTTCCAAGTCACTCATGCTCCTCTTGGGTTTCCTCTCCGCGTCCTCGATACCAGCTCTTGAATCGATACACCGCGTAGGCTACGGCGACGATGCTCCAGAAGACGGAATCGGACGCAGCTTGCTTCGCGATCTCGGATGCAGACTTTGGTGTCGCCAGATCTCGGGGTACCAGAGCGCGTTCATGGCGACTCTTCCAACGCTTTCGCATTGCCGCGGTCAAGAGCACCAATCCAGTCGATACGGCCCAGACACCCCCGAATATGATTGCTGCGCCGTATCCGCCCATCATCGCACTGGTGCACGTTGCGAAAACCGAACCCGCGACAGCGCTGCCAATGCCCGCATGCATGGCCGCGGCTGCGCTGCCTAGAAGAAGTCAGTATCCAATATACACGATATACTCTCCGAGATCACGTACCTGCGACGGTTCCACCTGGCCCAAAGCCTGTGATGAGGAGCGCTAATGCAGTAATCGCAACCGCAACGAGAGGCACCACGATCAGCACAAATTCCCAAGGGTGTAGCTTGATCCAATCGCCAATCGCCTTCGCTGTACCAATGAAGCCAAGCTGCTTGACCTTCTCGATAGCATTAAGTATAGCATCTTTAGCTTGTGCGGCCAGAACGGCAGCCTTGTCCGCGGCGCATCTCCACAGGTTGTTGATGCCGGTAGCCCATGTCGCGCGGAGATTGCGGTCTGCAGAGGGAGTTCGTAGCGTCTCCGCGTCGTCTCCAGCATTTTCCGCCGCTGGCACAGGCTCAGCACCGGCGTCAACCTCGTCTTCGGGATCTTCGTTCTCGGGTGTGGTCGCGTCTTCCGTTTCATTCTCGTGGGATGCCTCGTGCTCAGTCTCTGGCTGATATCGCGAGACAGGTTGAGCTCCAGTGGCCGTGCGTGTAGCTCGCAACCTCGCGAACAACATTCGCTTCAAGAAGAACTCCGCCATGTCGTGTATACGGCCAATGGCAATGGAGTTGAGGAGATGTGTGGTGATATGTTGCCAGCACAGTACTTTCTACGACGTCGCTAGAGGGCGGTGATAGCGCAAGTCGTGTCACCGTGAGTCCGAATCGGGAAGCAGCGAGGAAGTTTTCACCTTACTCCTCGTTTCAACGGAGCAAAACAAATCGTTGAGCTACAGCTTATATGCCACCACCGCATATATTCGGGGACAGGAACGACCTATGGAAGGCCATCTGGCACATGCACGTCGATAACATAACTCATAGGTACTTCGCGGATGCCAACCACAATACATCAACTTCGAGTACGATCACCATCCCCTTACTGATCCATCGGCAGACGGCCTGTCTCTTCGGCGATGAGCTTGTCGACCTCGTCCTGGATGAAAGCACGATGTATCGCTCTGGCCTCCTCCAACTCGCGCATCAACCTATCTCGCTCCCACAAAGTCCAAGCCGCCAGATCGGAGCACGTCTTTTCCGCCTTTGCGCGAGCCTCGTTTGCCGATTCCAACTCCTGCCTCAACCTCGCAATCTGCTCCAAAACAAGCTCAAATGCCTCCTTGGTGATGCTTTCGCATCCGGGTGCGGGAGTTGAACAATCTGGTTGGAACATGGAGGGTGTAGCGGGGCATTGTGGAACAGGGAAAGCTCCGGCCGTTAAGTATGAATCGTTGCTGGCGCTGCCGATTGGATTCAACCAGTCGTTCACCTGATTCACACCATCCGCGTGATGTGCGGGACGGAATGCGAGACTGATGGTGCGTTCGGGATACTGCAGGCTCGCATGACCGGAGAAGGTGGTTTGGATGTGTTGCTGCTGTGTTATGGTCAGTGCTGTTGTTGTGGTAACACGAGGTGTCAGTGAAAGACTTACATGGACAGCAGTTTCTTCCCCATCGTCCTCCATCCTATCGGTATCAACACGATCCGGCTCCATGTCCAAGCATTGACGTCTTCCAAGATGATTGCGGTGTTCGTAGGGGCTCGGATCTTGCGACTACGTCAGGAAATGCGCGGTGAAGACGGAGACGCGTCGGCGACTGAGGACTATACTCACGTGCCTGCTGAGTGAGCGCCTGCGCTAGCGTCTACTAGCGCATCTCTCTGTATATTTCAGCCCCGCCTCCCTCTCCCATCTTTCCTCTCGCTACCTGTGTTGACTTGGTTTGACTCTACGCGCAAAGCATCAGCTTACCGCACGAGCTGACGAGGACTGCACGGCCGACTGGGATTAGGGCAGATTCGAAACCAAGCTCTTCACGATCGGGAATCTAGACGTCGCAAGCCTCCTTCCGGTGAGCTGAGACTATAGGTGTCTCTTCTACATGTGCGAGGGGATCACGCCGCGAACCAAACAAATAAGCCTTTGCGTGAACGACTTCGCGTCCTGTGATGTACTTCAAGGCATCCACAGCCCACCGACATTCCCCCATCAGTACGTTGTATCTCTCCGCCTTACTCATGTCGTAAATTGAATGTGCTAATGTTAGCTCCTAGTTCTCATCGCTGTCATGTCGTCCAACAGTCTCAGAGGCCGCTCGCCCACGCAGTTCCTACCCCCGGCTGGCGCCTACTACGACCAATTCGACATCATCGAACTATTTGGCCCGGACGTACCTAGAAAGGGTCTTTGTAGTCTTTGTCTACAACCTGGGTGCGGGTCTTCCGAAGATCCTACCGGGTGCGTGAACGCGTGTGGCATGTGCGGATGTAAAGACCAGCACGCGAAGGGGGTAGGTCGTCCTTACTGCCACAGAGATCTCATCACTAACTCGTTCTAGCTCTGCGCTATGGCCTACTGCTCGTACAGGTGGCGCAAAGACCACGGATGCACTCCAGATCCAGATGATATGATCGCGCTACTTCCCGGAATGAACCAGGTTGCAGATCTTCATGGCCTCGGGATCATACAGACCATGTCTCATGTCTCTATGGACATTTTGCCCAACATGGATAATGCTGATGTTAAGGAATACTACGCCGGCCATACCATACAACACAGTCATCGCATCCGTACCCGCACGCCCATCACATGGGTCAACGAGAATGGGAAGAGGAGCGCCGCTGTTCAAGTCAAGATGACCTCCAAAGAGACGGTAGCAGCTCCCGCCAACGGCGCTGAAACTCGCCTTCCAGATTTGCAAGCACACGATCTGCCCTTGATCGGTTCACCTCTCGCTAGAGCTATTCGTCAAGTCACCGAAGCGCCATCTTCCCATCCGCCAATGGCAATCCCGGGTCTTTCGCTCCAGCCACAAGCTCCGCCAGACAACAACAACATGCAGCTCCAGATCATCCCTCCTGCCAACGCCATCACCATACCTTCTTCATCGTCATCGGAGAATCCCCGCTATCCTGCTCTGTCCCCTATTGCTAGCCTACAACTGCACTACGAGAAGCTGCTGCATGAGCGCGACCAGCGAGAGCTTCAATACATCGTTGAGAGCAAGGATAAGGACAGGATGATCAGGACGCTCAAGGCCAAGCTTGGATGGTCTTTGGACTAGATTACCTTATACAAGAAAAAGATTGAACAGGTCTAGGGCCTACACCGACGCTAGGTTACCTATCTTGTAGGCTTTTATGTTAATGTAGGCTGCAGGCCTGTTCGGGTTTGTTCTTAGTTGCCGAGAGATGCTGTAATAAGGTCATGCATTGGGCGACACGACACTTGATGATGTACTGAGTGTTGAATGATAGTGCAATGGGAAAGAGCTGATGCCTTAGTATCTTCAGACTCAAGAGCTGAATGCAAAGTACTTCTACAATACTATATAGTCCTGCATACAGTTCAGTACTGCACATTTTCTGCTTCCAGTGATTCTGTTCTCTTCATACGTGCTGGACACATGCCCAGACCAGAAGTCGTGTCAGTCGTCGTCCGAGCGTGGTACCTAAAGGAGCGCGTCATGTGATGTCACAGCCACGTACTGCCAGGTCACAGTCGTGCCTACCTATCTGGATACGTAGGTGAGAGCAACATGCCAAGCCAAGACGCGTCGTTGTCAACAAACAGCCAAACACTCGACTTATCCATCAACATAGACTTCAACCACCCCGAAACATCGCGATGGCCAATCTCTACCTGATGCAAGCCTTGTACGCCCCGAAGCCGCCTCGGTCTACCCCTAGTCCTGGTGTTTCTGCGCTCGACGACGGCGTGCAGCGACGACAAGGGCAGTCTGCAACGCCCGAGCAAGCCATACGTGGTGAACGCCTCAGAATGATGGAAATCGAAGGTAAGAACCCAAAAAAGCTGTTTTCAACCCTACTGACCCATAGCAGAACCACCTGAACCCGACTCGGAGGCCGTGGCGCGCTGTAAACCGACTGGTGCCAATGTACAGCCAGTCGGCATCAAGAGCGAGTTCTCGAGCTCCGACGCTGCGGACAGGTTCTTGGAATCGCTCCCGTCTTTTCCTGGCAACATTGCTGTTACGCCTTCTTTGCCCTCGTCGATGACACTCCTTGCTGGCCTTACGTATCCAATTGAGCGATACCTACCATCAGCGGGACCATACTACGACCAGAACGCTCTACTACCTGTCTTTGGCTCAATCTTCTTCAAATACAAACCCTGCATGATCTGTTGGACCTGCCATACCGCCGCAGGCTATTCAAACATGTCTTGCGGGAAGATATGCAAGGTCTGCAGAACCCGCCGCCACCCTGACGAGGTAGGAACTGTCCTAGTATTAGGTAGCAATGCTAACATCGGTGCTAGAGCTGTTCACTGTTTTATTGTAACAGAGATTGGTATCGCCAGCAGGAAATTCCATGCAGTCCAGAGACCGTTCGAGATCGACAAATCCGTCCCGACAAACAAGAGCTCGCTGTCCTCTGTCATACTAGCAGATCTATTATGGTGCATGTATCATCAATGTCTGGTAGTGCAGGAGTAGGTGTTCAATTCTGCTCTAGAGGTGTCGTCGTGACATTTAGTCTGCAGCTATCCTACTCGCGAAAGCGGGAGCATATCGCCTCAGATGCTGCACACTCCTCAGGTCCTGGGGCGCTTGTGCCCGTTGAGACGCCGTCACCCGTCAACTTAGCAAGGCGAGCGTCTTTCGCAACCAACTGAATGCGAGCTTGCTGAAGTTCTTCGACTAGGCGCCTGTTCTCGGCCTCCAGGAAGCGGATCCGCTCAGACTGGTGTGACAAGTCTTGTTCGGAGGCGCTCGCTTCAATATCGCCATCGCCAGACTCATGTATCACTGGCTGATCGACAATCGGTGCGATTCCACCACCAAGTACCCCATCCTCTTCGTCTATCACGCGCCGAGCCATAAGCCTGGGATCACGACTGAAATCCACGCCGTGGTTGAAATCCCTGTCATTAGGGGTTGAGCTGTATACCGGCGTTTGCGCTTGCTGCACTTCTTCCGGCACATGCGAAATAATGCCCCCAGGATTTAAAGGCCCTTCAACGCTTGGCCTTGACTGCTTTTGACCCTTCCCTGACTTAGACCAGACAGTCATTCCCGGCGTATGTAGTCGCATCGAGGTCGTGCGGTAGAGCTCACGTACGAGCGGATGATCTTGGTTTACCTTGACAACGTCCGTGAACTTTCGGAAGCTGTGCACCACTCCAGCTTTGACGAGGTATAAGAATTCGCCAACGCCGGGGCGAAGGTGCTGTGTCTTGACCACCTTGTGGCCGTGAGCCTTCTAAAACGACATCCTCGCATATATCTGACCACATGTCTGCCCCGGATGGTCACAGGTTCCGCAAATTCGACACTTCCTCTTGCACCTCTTGTGGTTGTCTTCATGCTTGGGCCCCCAGTAAACAATACACACGCGGATCTCGCCGTTAGCGTACAGATCGAACATGACTTCGCCGAAGGCGCTTTTGAGAATGAACTCGTCGTAGTACGGTCCGGATGGCGGCAGGCAATTGACTATCGGGCACTCCAGACCCTTCACCGGGCCAATTGGCATGAAGACGCCAGGCTTCATCTCTACTCGAATGCTGAACGCCTGTAGTTCGTGCTCGGTAGGAAGGTCGTCTGGGAATACAATGTCAGCTAGACTGGTCAAGAGAGGGAACACAAGTGACTCTGGCGCATATGAGGTCGTTGCGCGGTCATGTGCAGCCACCGCAGGCTGCTTGGAGGGCATTACGCTCGCACATGGCGTGTCGCCAGTCACATAAAAGCACGATATAGACATGTACTTACATTCTACACCACCATCTGTCCTCCTTGCTGTCTCCGAGGGTGGGTTTCGTTGCGGGTCGAGAGCTCTATTACGGCGGCCATACACTGAAGTGGTGTCGCGCTGTTCCGACATCGCGTCGATACTGGACGAAAGAAGTCGCGGCTTGAACGTGGAAGTATGAAGTGTGGGCGGTGTTCGATGCAAATGGTACGGTAGACGATGAGTGAGAGGTGTTGGGCAATGTGCAACTATGGCGCGGTATTTTCATATCACCACTTGACGTCACGCGCAGAAACTCCCACCTTGTCTCTCTCACCATCTGATTTACTTCGGAATCATGTCAATCAAGATGTCCGTCGCCGGCTGACACGAAGACGCGACACTTTCGCCATCGTGACATGAGCGCAACGAGAGTCTGATTGGGCCTATGTCAATTCTCGACCACTGGTATAGCTTCGGGTTTTGTATACGAAAAGAAGGGAACTTCTCGATCATGATTGCAAAAGTAAGGACACTAGGAGCTCATAGTTGTAGCCTTGTGTTGCAGCGACTCCCATCCAGTTGCAAAGTCACTTCAGAGTTCTCCCAAAAGTCGCCCACGTCGCGACGGGTGGCCCGACAGCCACATCGAAACGACTCTGTGTAACTCATTGTTTCGATATACATCGGAAACTTTTGTACCAATTGTTGTTGAATACAGTAGTGGCGACATGTGTTCTCTCGGCAGGATTTCGGTAGTGCGATTACGAGAACGCACATGACAACGGCTCGTCCGGCACCGTGCACACAATTCCATCCACGGCCCCGGCGAGACAAGAACACAGCTCCGCTCGCGACATGGCCCATGTGCTACGCTTAGTAAGAGTCTGGACCGCACCACATCTCTGTCAGCATTTTTCCAGCCAATGTCCCCATCGATACTGCGTATTGGCTGCGTTCCCGCTCCTTGTTTGTATCCCAAGTCATTGGCAAGTAACGCACCAACACCATTGAGATCGGGCTAGACTTACCGCGCCGTCTCTGCCTGAACTCTTCAAACGCAGCCTAGATCTTCTGTCTCGTCGCTTAAGCCATCCTCACCCACACGTCAAGTCGCCTTTTGGACGTTGTATATGGCGCTGCGCAACCTGCCAGACGGGCGTCGAGGGCCAACGGCGGTCCCCAACCCAGAACGATCAGAAGACAAGGTCTTTCTCGACAGATTTGCGGATAGTCCACTCTGCGGCACAGGTCGATACCGCTTCTTTCGGTCTTCCCCTGCGATTAACTACTTCCCTTCCCGTCCAGGGGTAGAGCGCCTTGCTCAGCACAAGCTCAACGACAGATCTGCGGCCTTTAAGTATGTGCGTTATGTCCTCGAGCTACACGAAGACGCAATTCGTAAGAGGTGGTGCGAGAAGAGTATCGCGAAGAAGAAGAATCTTTTGCTTACGGCTCCGCCGAGCATAGCAAGCGAGGATTGCCCTGACTTTGCGGTGGATCTGGCAGCAAGCACGGCCTCTATTAATATCAATGAACATCGACCATCTACAACCCCAGTCTGTACGGCAAGAGATATCGAAGCTTGTCTAGTGCCTTTCTTAAGCCTAGAAGATCTTCTTCGATAGGGTACCTTTCTCAAGTTCTTAAATTCCCGTGGCCCTGCCCCAGTTGAATCTTCCAGCCAGACAAACCTCCTCAACCGCCCGATCACCCGGTGGCCGGACCAAGTTCTCTATCCAAGTCTGCACAGATTCACGATGATATTCGCTGGACGCAACAAGTGGAACGCCTATGGTCGGATGAAGCGCTGGATAGGTCCGAAGGATGCTTGGCAGACTATCCACAATAGCCATGAATCCTACCCAGCCGTAATCTCCAGATACGTTGCATACAGGAGATCATCTATACATTCCTAAAGCGATGCTGCAACCTCTTAGTAGGTGATCTCTTGGCCGATGAGAAAGGACAACCGGCAAAACACACCATCACCCCACCGACAGCCTATGTGATCGAAAATACTACTGACTATACGAACCAAGCAGAGGTATCGTTAGGTAATTCTTACGACGTTCCCAGACAGTTGGACTTCGATCGCTTGCGTAGCTTGGTCAGCTCCAAGGCCGGTGAACTCGAAGATCATATCTGGCCGCTTCGAGAAGACCCTGGCTACTTTTCTGATGTCTTCGATGACTACAAGCCACATTCTTGCGACTACTTCAAATCAGCTGACTGCAATGTAAACGCTATCCTAAAGGAGCCGCCTCATGACATGACCGGTATTGTTCTTCGCTGTCTTATCACAGACCTATATCTAGCTCTGTTCTACTGGCATGAGTGTCTGCGTCTCGTGGAGCATCTCTAGTCCACGGCTCGGGGGGTTGAATCTTATTTCTCTCCTGGTTAAGGTTTCCCTAAAGTCTAGCACCGAAACCTTCTGAAGCTGGGGACGATCCTCTATGCTATACATACAGGCGTGCACGAATTCTTCCGACAGCGGGCTTCGAGAGCAACGGTTATGCAACCCTACTTCACCAGAACCATGGCGGATCCCAATAGCGGTGCTGTCTTTATTAGGATTGATGACGCGCAAGCAAAGGGAGATTCGGCTACAGCTCGCTTCTTGCAGATATTATCGCGTATCTGGAGTGTGCATGTTCCACCAAAACTAGGCTTTGTTGCTAAGTTGGATGCTCTAGTCAGAATGGTCATGAAGGAGCCAGGCGCCAAAAGCTTGTTGTCTTCCTTTGTCTGGTCAGACTTCTCATAGATCTAAATTCCTTCTGAATGTATCCAGCAGATTCGATCGTATCAATATTGGACTAAGCGGGTTGAAACAGATGCGGTCCCACTTCATCAAGAGTTGATGATTGAGTTCGTACATTTCGGGTTAAAGTGGTCACCTGTCTCTCCAATGAGACGCACAAAAACAAGATCCATGAATCACTCCCACTGGATCTAATCAATTTCCCGATTGCATTGTCAAGCTTCAACGAGCGCGGCACTGCATGCATCTCACGTATCAGCAGTTACACACGCAAGCGCTTGCACACTGCGCAAAGCAAATCAGTCGCTTCTACTAGCCATCACACTTGAAGACCGCGCAACCCAGAAGATGACCCAAATCGTGTCCGAGATTGCTATCCACAAGAGTCTAACGCGTGAACTAGTAGACTGCCAGAGCGAGATGAACGTGCCGGCTGCTGCAGCGGAAGTGAAGCGAGACTGGAAAATGAACAATCCGCCATTGTGTCGAGAAGCGGAGTCGAGAAGGGTGGAAAGAAGATAGGCGAAGGGACACGGCAAGTTGAGTCTTTGAAGGCATTTGGACAGCGAAAATCTTATGTGGTTAGGTCCATCTGAGCGCGAGTGTGTATGCGATTGCCGAGGGGCGCGAGGGCGATGAAGAAAGCGGGTACGGTGGAGTAGAGATACAGATACTCAGTCGCAATCTGGTAATCGTGCTTCGGTTACTTCAAGTAATATAAAGTGTCACTGAAGAAAGTCTTTCTCGTTGCGCTACATACACTGGGTACAAGATACTGACCACAAACGAATGTATTTCTATGCTACATATGTGTATCTAGATACAACAAAAGATTTGTCTCGTATGTACATAGATAGAGTGGTAGATGACATTTCTCCTTACAGAGATATCTTCCAAACGAGTGATTCCAGTGTACCAAGATACGCGTCTTCCCTGAACTTATCTTGGAGCACCTGGGTAGTTTGCAGCTAGGGCTTGTTGTGATCCTCCATTCAGATTCTTCCACTGACAGATAGAGGGTGGGGCTCCTCGTCGAGGAGGATTCGGGATGGTAACGGTGGTTTCACCGGCCTCTATTTCGTGGTCGATCCAGCAGAACTCATCACAGTTGATAGTCTGAACGCATTCCAAATACACAGCATCCTCCCATCTGGAACTGCTCGAATAGTTCAACTCTTTGCCACCGAACTGCTGGGTATCCCTCCACACAAAGAAGATGGAGAGTCGAAACGTAAAGATTTTTTGGTAGATGTAAACGCTCTTGTTTGGTGAAACCGTGATATTGCGCTCATGGGTTTCTTTTCGCGAGACCTCGTTCGATTGGAACGTTTTACTCTCACTTGATCCGCCCACGTTCAAGCTGAAGCCCCACCCAGAGAAGCCAGCGCTTGCGCTAACACTGTTGACCTGTTCAGACCCGTGGATGACGGTAGAACCCAATTCGTATGTCCTCTTTTCGTTGGCTATATCGTCGGTGTTGTTGTGGACCACTGTGATTCTCACCCACTCCTCTTTCACGAAGTGGACATCGTGATACGCCGTGAGGGTCCAGCGGTCCCAACTGTAGAGGGGATTCACCAACTGTCCCAAGAGAGTTTGTCCCGAAGGCTTGTAGATTGTGTATTTCGGCTTGAAAGCACCCGCGGAAGATGCAAGCTTGTTCTCCTTTGGCGTCTCTTGAATCGCCTGCACCTCAACGGGTACCATAGATTCTTCAAGATTGACATTGGAGACTGACATCGTGGCTAAATGAAGCACTTTGGGATGTATATCTGGTAACGATAGGGGAACGAAGGCTAGAATGAATAATTTTGTGCGAGATAGTCGTTTGAAATTGCGATGGAACACAACACACTGGAATCAGATGCTTCATATACCGCTTCCAGTGCCAACTACCCACTCTGCACCCCACTTGCTAATGTTACTTCACTAATGCAAGTGTTCATAAGACAGATGTACACTACACCACCAGCTTTTCCATATTTGTTTTGCTCAACAAATTTACGTCCTCATGATCCGCTAAGCTACCCACCTGCGCATGCGTATCTCAAGCATGAGCCAGCGGTGAGCAGTAAGCTATTTGTCCCAATTCTCATAGAGACAAAGTAGTTGGCTGTAGAAGCAGATGACCTTGACACTGCCTCTATTATGAACTACGATTATTTCTCATCATTACCCTGGCTAGATTGTTTGGCGGGGAGTTGCGCGAGAAGGGACGGTATGAGCTTATCAGTTTCTGGTAGAATCTCGATCAGTGGCTCGCCACAGCGGGTACTTTCGGAGCGGAGTTGATGACTGTCCAATCGGGTCTTACCATACCCCGCTTTTAGCGTACTTGCTCGGTACGGGCCGTTGCGCTGGCCGGGTTTACTTTCTTTTCTAGCAGATGGTGCACGACCGCGACTAGGGCTAGGTTTTCTTATGTTTGCGCTCGGCATTGGGATTTGCATTGAGGACGAAGATGATTGTAGCCCCATTGAGACAACTGAGGGTGCAGCCAGCAGTCGAGCTTATCGTTGAGGGTGCAACCAGCAGTCGAGCTTATCGTTGAGGGGAGCCGGCACATTTGCTCCTGAACCACAAGTAGTCACATCATCTTCCTCTACATCTTAGTGTCCTGGTCGTGCTCGGCGATGTGCGAAAGGATCGGCTTCTGACTAACGTGAAGGAGTAAGTGGGCATGTACACTGAACCCAATCGGCTGGACTGTAAGGGCTAGGCTTTGAGGAGCAGTGGCCTAGATACGTAAGAGATTATAATGGAGAAGGCGGTATCTACCAGCCGTGTCTGAGCACGGACGCAATCCGATCGACCCACAGACGCGCACCTGCTAGACAGTACCCGCGTCCCTTGGTTGCACCAGTATATCAATGGGAAGCTACTCAAAGGGAGTCTAGACTATCAAGAAATCTCTCTCTAAAGTATTACCCTGGTGACTTAGCGGTACACATGACTTTAGAAGACGCAGTCATAAACCTTTCGTCATATCAAAATCAACTTTTGTTGGCGCTTGGGCGTTCTGCTCCCTCGTGGAGATTTCGTAGTCTAACGTCCCGTCTCGCGTCCCTGTATCAACCGCGGGCCAGTCGCAACTATAATTCAACGGTCCCATTGAGATAGAATGGATGGGCAATGAGCACGCTTGGTTGAGCGTTTAGCTACCACCCGTACATTTGTCCATTAATGCACAATTCTCTCTAATGAAAAACACTAACCATGGCATACTACCTCGTGTTCGACGAGCCAAATTCTCGCCGAGCGTCACACAATACTGCGCCAGGGTCAAGTCGGTGCTCAGTCAGAAGGCCGTCTACGAGCACATCGCGCTGAAAATGACATCAGAATCGCCGCCTACGTGCAGAAATCTCCACGAGCCACTTCAACATGGCGCACCTATGCGTGGCGGAGTGTACATGATCACAGCAGGAGATATGTGGTCTTTTGGAAGCTCACTGAGTAGCCTGATGGCTACTGAGCCTCTACATTACACATAGTCATGCGATCTTTGTACTCCGTCTGTCGCTCACGGAGAGACCTGAAACTACTATGATCATGTGACAATCTAGGTTAATGGGCAACTGCCTGTTAGTAAACGGTCTTGGATTCGTCATTCATGACGAAGCCGCTGTCTAATGCCGATCGGTGTTATGCTTTAGCACCCTAACGTCTCCACCTATTGCTCTTATGTCATGTGAAGCATTTGACCTGATCAATTCGCACCAACTTGAGATGATAACAGGTAGAAATCTGCGATTTGAATGGAGGTCATCATCGTGCGATGTGGAGTATCTTGATCGCTCTCCGAGAGGTCTGATAGTTGCCGTGATCATGCGATGCGCCAACCATAGAGCCATTGTCTTGTACGCATCGGTCTTGCGCTTTGTCACTTGTGGACGAAGCCGTTGCCTGATGCCAATCGGCCTAGCGCTCTACTTCAGTGTCAAGTCGATCTGCCGTGCTCGCATAGCTTGATCGTAGACGCATTAGTTGACGGGGGAAAGAGGTGGGGGTGTACGAAGAAAATGATATCAAGATCATTGCCGTGCGACGCCTGCGAAAATCATCGCAGCATGTAGCTCATTGTAAAGTACACCACTAGCAATACCACGCCCTAGTACATTCCGCTCTTTCTGTATATGTTCTTGTTCACATCGTGCCATCTATCCCGTAAGACGTACACGATCTCTGCCAGCGCCACACAATTATACCAATCCGATCTTCACACGTGTTCGGAATCGTCACCGCCAACATCTGTGATGTGCAACAGTAACATGATATCCCACTTCTCCTTAAAGATAGTAACCTTATCGACAGTCTTGTGACCTAGTCCCTTCCTATGCTGTATGAGGAGGTAAGCGACCCCGGAACCATTCGGTGAGCCTATTAATGCATTGAACTCCGCTGAGCCTGCGCTGTATGTTGTCCCCGGCCATTCTTTTACAAAAAGTCTGCCCTGCAACATTAGATAGGTAACGACAAAGCGCGTGACATTGTTGAGGACGTTGTGTCGAAGTACGTAACGTAGGTTTGACTTCTCGTTGGCTTTCGACAGCCATTGGAGATACGCTACATCCGACCAGTGTTTCAATTTGGGGATAAGTGAGTAGCATCGTCCGCACTCTTCAGCCATGGCTCGGGCTGTGAAGTTGTTATACGCCACTATAATTCCATCCGAGGGGTTAATGACTTGACAAAAAATCGCTTCCGTTGCTGCACAAGTTTGATCATCCACCGCTTTCGGGCTCTCGCGTTGGTGGCCGACGCAAAAATTGGGTCCTTCATTCTCATCAAACTCCCCATTTAGTCCAATGAGCTTCAGAATGTCGCCGAACCGTTCCTTTGCGGTATCTGGGTACGTAAATTGGTCCTCTGCGTATCCCCATTTATAGAGATCCTGCACAGCTGTGAATACACTTTCAGTCGATTGTGATGGTTCTGCGATCATCAGTTTAGATAGCTGGGCGCCTTTTACAACCAGCCTCTCGAACTTTTGGCTGACGCGCCACCAATCAACTTGGTGCGCATCATTTGAGCTACTCGTGTCTACCTTTAATGACGCCGCAAGCTCCTCGAATGGTGATAAGTTTGGATGCGCGGCTGGAGCTAGGCTCGAATCTTCCAGCGCACGGGTTTGAGGATTTGACATCATCTTTTGAAGGAGTCTGTGAAACATGTCGGGATGAAACTAAGGTAATGTTCGGGTGCGGTGAGTAAACCTGGCATAACAGAGCCTTTGTATACCAAGTGAACGCTGTGATGAGCTACATTTGTTCACGAACAACTGTGAAACACAGTGTTGTCAATATCGCCGGTACGTGAGACTTACCGAGGGTGCCCATTCATTGTGCAATGATATGCGCTCGCGCATCTTTCTATCTCTTCCTTGTGGTGGTATTGCGCATCTCTTCTTCCTTGAGTGAATGGTAATAAAAGCTGGGAAACGCCCGTCACGGTGTTTTGAAGCCATGCGGGGCCGCAATAAAAGTCCCGTGGATGAAAATGCTTTCGCGAGATGTCCGATCGCGCACCTGGTTTCGGGCATCTTGCTACACTTGGAGCGATGTTGATGGTCGAGTGGGGAACTGCGCAGTGTCTAATCCGGATGATGGTGATGGTTCGTGACAGAATGCAGTTGTTGCAGCTTGCTTGAGGAATGGGGTCAGGGTCGGAACCGTGGAAGCGCCGACGCTATGCCCAGCAAGGCACCAGTTACGTGGGGACGCAGATCATGCCATCATCCCGATGTTTCGAGACCGCATCTTCATCACTCTTCTCCATCCTCAAATCTTGCACCTGATCACCTTTCATCACAGTATTTGGGCGCAGCAATTACACATGCTTTACCAAAAGTGTCACTCACCAGGCGCGTGGTATGTACAGTCAACACGGGATGGACAGGAATTATTACTCTTCGCAGCTGTACTCTTTTCGCTTTTTTCGCCGCTTACATCGAGCTCCACTTCACATGGATTTTGTGTTGTTCAATGACTTTTTCGTGTATGGCTGGCATTATTCATCTGTGTAGAGGATACATTCCGCTGAACCATACGCCGTTTTTCCTCCTATATGCCTCTTGTGGTATCAAGGCCGACCGTTGCATCTGCCACCGTATGCCTCAAATATTGGTTGTACCTCATTTGCGTACTCGCGCCGCTTGATGTATGCATCAACGCCTCGCGTGCTTGTTCAGTACGTTTTCCAGAGTTGATCTTGCGAGCTCTATCGCGTCCTCCAATTCACGGATCAAGGGGTTCAACTCTTCAAGCTCTTTGCTCTGCTCTGCCAGCTTTGCATCCTTTTCCGCAATCACCGCACGCAGCTGCTCTACCGTCGTAAGCAGCAACGCCTGTTTCTCTGCCCCTTTCCTCTCCGTCGCAGCCTCTTGTAGTAGCTGGAACACCTCTTCATGCTCTTGCTTGATGTGAGGTCGGGTCGCCGTATGCGGCTTTGCGATGTTGCGAAGTGGGAGATCGACCGATGCGGTACCTGTAGTCGGCGGGACACTTGCCAAGACAGGCGCCACGTCCATCTCGTTGACAGTCGCTGTAGATATTGTAATTAGTGTCGCTCAGTCTAGGGTTACCCTAAGCCCAGAGTTATTGCCTGGCTACGAGTGTCTTCAGTTTGGGGAGTTACTCACAGTCGTACTCTTCATATGGCTTGTCCCCGGTCGTGGATCGCGGGGCGGGCGCCTTCTCTGCACGTAGCGCCGTATCCAACGTATGAGACGCCATTTTCGTAGCGGTCTGTGTCAAGGATACAATAAATGGGTCGGAAGGGAGGCGCGTGTACTGTGTGCAAGTTCTACGAAAGGCTGGCGACGAGAGGATACAAGCGCTACGTTTGGACAAGTCAGAAACTTTTGAACCGTGCGGTAAGGTCTGGGCTAGCGAGCGCGCTCTTTCACGGCGTCATGAATTTTGATAGAGCGCACTCTCACATTTGTGAACATAGAGAAGATCGGCCGCGGACATCAAGACAATCTCGCAAGGATAGCTAAGGGGATTTCTACATTGTGAAATTAGCCGACGATGGTTCAGCGCATGACGGCTATCAAAAGGTCAATCACGCGCGAATGTAATCTTGTCATACTACTTTTTCTCATTGCCGGGGCATACCTAGGTACCCGCACCTCGCGAAAGGACGAACGATCCGACAGCTTCGCGGACTCAGGGGGGCGATAGCTAGGATGTTGGTGACTGAGCAAAGGAACAAATGAACTACCGAATCGTTGGTACCACATTACGATCGCTACGAGAACATGCCGCAGGATGGCTGGATTACTAGACGCTGGCAAGACTAGCAGCTGCCGGCTCGATCAGAGCTCTATAAATGGATGCAAGCGCTGGTGCTACAATAGAAGGAATGTGCCAGCTCAATTCGGCCGCGATACGAGCGAGCGGAATGTAGGAAGGGGGATATAGAACATACATTTACGTAACTGGAAGAGACGTCATATAGCGTATGAGACCGTCAGGTGAATTCATAGCTTGACTAAGAATTGATATCGGACTCGTGCTTACCTCACATGGAACTTTGACGACTCGAGGTCATTCACGCATAGGACTCGCCAATGTCCGAAGATCTCGATTTTGCTATATGAGAAAAAGCAGCGCCATCATCCCAGCAAGCATCGCACGGCCTGTATGCTCGCACGACACGCAGAGGACAGGTCAACTACCCCGTCTTTCGAATCAGGATAGAGCCTTCAGTTACATGTATACGGACGCGCGTCGCAATGATCGCTCATCGAAAAGCAAGCAACGAGTATACGAATCCACTCGAAGCATGAAGCAAAGAAACGAAAGAGGAAGGTCTAGAACTCTTCCTCAATTCAGTCCATGAGGGCCCCACGGGACCTCTTCATCCTCCACCGGCGCTGAGGCTTCGTCGTCTTGGTCTTGTTGTACTTTGACATCTTCTTCTTGGACGTCATTGGCTTGTGCCCCACCAATCTCTGCAGCGTCTCGGAATTTTTTGCCGTCTCGTTTCTCCTCTTCAGCGAATTCTTCATGAAGTCAGTAAAGAACTCTTTGCGACCAGGCATTGACTTACGTGAGCTGCGTGGCGTTGGGAATGCTGGGGCCTCATCGATTGTGGGCTCTGGGACGGAGAACTGGCTGAGGATGCCGTGCTGGTAGCCCGCAGTGGCCTGAGAGGCCCTTGGTTCCTCGGTTTTGAGGGTCATGAGGGCAGACAGAAAGTCGTCGAACCCTATCGGGTGGGGTGCTGGTGTGTTGTTGGTGATGTTTTGTACATTTCGACCGAGATTCGCCATATCTACGGCGCTGTTATTATAGCACAAGAACCTTTGGAAGAATGTCTTACTTTTGGCGGTATTTTGATCAGTGCAGAAACTTCATAGGCTCAAAGGTCGGTTTGGCTTTGCGTGCGCGCCAAGCGCGCTAGTGCAGATCCGACGACGCCGGGTGCGTTGACCAGGCTCTGGTCCCTCATATACGCTCGTGGAAGGAGCAAGGAAGAGCTTCATAGTTGACACAGAGTCACACACTCAAGCTTGTTGCAATACGTTCGAGGCGAGCGAGTTCATGGCGCCTTTGTATGCAGGTGTCTTCGCAAGCACTGTCAAATCGGCTCTCCCGTACATTGGTATCGTCTTCACTCTTAGTACTACAGGAAACTTGACCTTTGCAACTACAATAGCACTTCTGTTTCACGTACGATGCAGTACTTGTGCCGAGTATTGCTACTTGGATTTGCTACCTAGGTAGCTAGTGCACTCGCTGCATCGCTACATAGAGTCTGTGCTCTGCTAATGCGTCTTGCTGAAGACATCTGGCACTCGAATCTTGCACTCTTCATTGTAAACTGAGTTTGACCGAAGCGTTCGCGGTGTTAACCACCCCAGCAACTAACCGGCATGTGTGCACGTCAAACGGCAGACAAGCCGGTCGCCTCTTCTAGCCTCACAGACATTCACATAGAGATGGAGATGATGGAAGATCGCATCACGGATGTTCGCAGCATTGCAAAGAATGCACACGCTAGACAGTTCAATTTACTCATACAATCCTCTTCTCCTCGTCCACAGTCCCGACTTCCTGCCAATCATACCCAGTTCTTCGATCCTCAACCAGAGCATCTATCTGATGCGCACGCCGCGAAAGCTTAGATTTAATCCTCATAGACAATAGCACGAACGCCAGTGCCTTCAAACTCATACGTGAAGTGGTCCAGACGTCGGGTATCAGATCCCGTCATCGTGGTGTCGGGTTCGAAGCGAAACCTGTTGACCAGCATGGCGAGCGTGAGGGTAATCTCCGCATATGCAAGATTGATCCCAAGACACTGCCTTGCACCTTTGGAAAAGGATACGAGATATCTCTCCAGCTCTTTTGCGTCTCCAGTCAGCCAACGAGCGGGGACAAAGCTTCTGGCGTCTTCGCCCCATATGCTTTCGTCAAAGTGCATGCTGTACGCAGACATGCCGACTACGGTCCCAGGTGGAATGATCTTGTCGTCGACGATGAGCGGCCTTGCTCCATGCGGTACGACACGCGGGAGTCGCCCTGGCACGGGCATAGCATAGCGCAATGCTTCTTTGATACAAGCAGTCTTAGAACGTTAGCTTCGTATCGCGATCATGTCAGGGCACATACCAGATATGGAAGCTGCTCTAGTTTCAAGAGGCTGAGATCTTGGTTCGCCATGATACCGCTGTCGCGCAATTCTTTCCTTAGCTTTGCGAAGATTGCAGGATCCTCGCTCATCTGTTGGACAGCAGTCGCGAGTGTGAAGGCCGTGGTGTCGGAGCCTGCGACCAAAGTATCGATGGCTTCGCTTAAGACAAGGTCATCGTCCAGGTGTTCCAGAGAATCGAACACGAGTTCATGGTCGAAGGTCTTTCCGGAAGTCTTCAGGCGTCGGAAATTGGCTACGGTATCCGCGGTGGCGGTGATGAGAGCCTGAAATTTTGCGGCTGATGTACTGAGTTTGGCGGCTATACTGGGTGGGCATTTGAAGGCGATAGTCCGGAGAGGAGGGAAGTATAGCATGGTCCACAGTGACTCGGCGGCTTGATCAAAGCACCTGTGGAAGGGAGCGTCGAAAGTATTGTCGTCGGATTTAGTAAGCAAGTTGAAGGACTCCCCGAAAGCCATTTGCGTAATGAGATCGACCGTCAGGCACCTGTGATGATTTTAGCGTTCATGTTACATCCGGTAGGATTGGGGAGGGCTACCTGAAAGCATAGTAAAAGTTGATCGCGCCGTTTCCTTTAGTCTCTGATATCCTATCACATAAAAGAGTGGCTTTGGAAAGCAAAGTCTTCTCCATTGACCTTATGTGCGTCTTCGAGAAGAAGTTGCTGAGAAGCTTACGTCGTACACGGTGCAGCTCTTTGTCGCTCTCAACGAACACAGAGTGGTGTGCGGCGAAAGCATCATAGAAGGACTTTGATTTAGGAAAGGCGTAGTTCTGTGAGTAAATTGTACGGTAGAGCGCCGGATCAGTAATGTGAAGCTCATTTGGACCGATCCTGAGTGTTCGTGTGCCTGTTGAAATCGTCAGTGCCTGGCCGTGTGATTCGTCGTGAGACTTACCATATGATCTGTGCAATTGTTCAAGTGTCTCTTCTTGTTGGCCAGTCTTGCTCAGAGAGTATTGCCACCAATTGGATAGTGCCGCCTGGTATGGACCCGGAAAGGATGCTAGTGGATGAAAGTAGAGTAGATAGACTGCGCGTAGGAAGCCCAGGGCGAGAGCAAAGAGAAATATGCTGGCCGCAAGCTCGGAGCAGGAGCGCGTCTCCAGGAAAGACAGGTCCCAAGCCTCCTTGAGTTGAGCGAAGATACTTGCGGACATCATCTTGAGCTGTAGCAGCGTGATGAATGAAGACACTCAGCTACACTTATATGATTCATCATTTTGTACATCATCCTCGACACCTTTTCGTACATCGCGTATTATGCGAAGATGTCCCCCATGTCTGTTCGCTCGATGTAGACTTGGCAACTCGAGTATAGCCGGTCCAGCGTCGGCAAGCCAAGCATTCGGACCTTTTATAAACACACTATTAGGTCCCCGACTGGGCAAAAACACGTCAAGCGTGTCCGCGGAATCCGAAAAGTTGGATATTTGGATGCACGCTGCGCTGAAGAGGTGTCAGGCTCAGGCGTTGCGCGGGGTTCGCGTCAACGTTCGGCCGACCGTCCGCTCACGGCAAGATGAAAGCCGACGATAGCAGGACCATGTTGATCTCTAAACGGCCGTCTGCCGCTGGAGATGATGAGCACCCGTGTTCTGCTGCGATGAGCGATTGTGATGGGAAAGACATGTTGCGCAAGTGAGCAGGAGGCATCCGACAGAATTCGATTGGGCCGTTCGCTAGCGCTGGGGCCAACTTCTGAGCATCTCCTACGTCATCACCCCCTTGTCTCCTTCCCTTCACACGGCAAGCTTCACCCCTTCAAACCATCACCTCTTCGGAGAAATTTGCCGCAGACTCTGCTGTATAGCCTTCTGGCCATTGTCCCGTCATACCAAAAATTCCAGTGGCCCTGCTTCCGATCGCTTTCTCCATGGCGTGCTTACCCACTTTCTTTTCCCAATCTTCGAGGCTCATCTCCCCACCTAGCACTTGCGGCAATGTAATCGCCGATAACCCTGCGATATCGCAGCTTGCGCCAAGGTGTGGGCGAAGCTGGATGAATGCCTCGCCTGCCAGCAATAACTTGCCTCCGAAGAACGAAGCTTTTGTATTGTCAAACGCTAGATGGTTGCGTAAGTCAGCACATGTCTTCAATCGAGTATCTACATGGACGGCACATACAACGAACGGCTGTGAGAAGCGGCGGATTCGACTCTTGGAAGATCTTCCTCCACATTGGAGACAACACGTTGTCCCTTCGCTTAAGCTGAGCCTCCCAAACGTCTGGACGCAATAGGTTCCCAGGTACGGTGACGTTATGTCGGACACCATTAACGTCGGTCATGTAATCCGCGAATACTGGTGTTGAAGCGTCGCAAGCATCATACCAACACCATTCGATGACACGGATCCCAGGACGCATGTCTCCGATCGTGCTAGGCGACAGATAGCTACCACATGTCAGTCAATGGTTGGCAACGTTATACCCAACTTACACCACTATGTAGCTCCCGTCCAGCATGCAAAGAGGCATCTTCCCCTCTATGGCACAACGTAGCTCCTCGGGCGCATCCTTTTCTGGGAATTGTGATCTCCACGCCACATAGCCAACGTAATCGGTCTTCACATCAGGAAGGACAAGGCTTCGAAGACGGGATCGTGCGCCGTCGGCCGCCACGACCAAGTCAGCCGTCATCTGTTCCTCGATGCCATCTTCGCCTTTGTATGACACCACAAGATGGTCAGCTTGCTCAGCCAGCCCGCATACCTGGTATCCACAGCGCATGCTAACAGGCCCATGTCCCTCGACGTCTTTCTCGCAGGCCATCCACAGCAGACCGTGAAGACCAGCCCAGCACGAGGTGCGCACGTCTTCCGTGAACGGTACTTCGACCAAGACCTTACCATCCTTGTCAAGGATTGGAAATGCGGGGTTGCGGAAAACGATATCGTCAAGCTCAACATCAGGTAGGTATGTTGTGAACACTTTCTGTGCGTTTGACCATAGGCTCAAGCCTGCAGCTCGGGCTTGTAGCTGCTGTTCAGTTCGCATCTCAAGAACCACAACGCTGTGGCCATGAGACTTGAGCGCCACAGCATGCATGAGCCCAGCTATCGAGCCACCAACCTATTGGAATCATCAGCCTCATATCAGCCATGGCATACAAGGCGACTTACCACAACGACGCGTTTGTTTATTGGTTCTGCCATGGTTCTTAAGATGGTACGCACGAATGGAGAAAGACGGACGATGCTCCGAGGCCGCCTTCTGACGCGGAAACGGCCCTTTTATCGCGTTGCAGTACGAACATGGGTTCAGTCGACTACTCCGCTGCCACCAACGCAGTAAGAAACGTCGCCCGTTGCGCGATTATTGAATGAAGCACCACCATTGGGTAAGCGGGCAGCGAGCAACGCCTGGTTCTACATGAGTGGTTGGCTCGCGTACCGGCATGCGGCGCAGTCGCATCGTGGCTTCGCCTATCTTCCTGTCCAGACCCGATCAACCAGTCAGACACATGTCTTGCGCGATCCTCCAGATCCTCTCCGCTTTAGCGAACCTCATATTCGGGGTCATTGACTGAGATGAACTAGCGGCCCGTTCACGAGTCCCGGGCACGTCACGTGAGGCGGCTTGTATGTTCGATGTTCCTGCCCCTTGTCGGTTTCTGTTACGCGAGATTCCCTCCAAGTCACCTCTCCACATTTATCACGGCATGATATTAAGACTCCGCGTACCCTGCTTCCCACTAGTCTCTTCACATATATGGTCGTCCGCGGGGACTCTCCCTAACGGTGACGATGACCCTGACGTTCGCACTTCTCGGTGACTTCGGACCAGCCTCGTCGTTCTTTCAACACATACTATGGGTCTTTGTACGGCGACGGTAACAATACTATCTTCAGTATGCAAATTGATGAGTGTTTACGCATGTTTCACTAGCGATGGATCAGACTGGGGATGATGAACATGACTCAAGCAACCGGCATTAGCTCTCATCATGCTAAGGCGTCTGCTATCACTAGGTATTTTATGTACGGCAAAGAATGCCAAATATCGGGACCCATCCAGTCAGAATCCGCTGCGTACATCTGACAATGCCCACAGGTTCGTTTCCCGCCATGTAGAGCAGGCCCGCCGTACGGACCTTCATTCTTCAATCTTCTCAGTCTCACCAACGGCGCCATGTTGTGACGCTTGTCGCCACCATCATCACGACCCTTCACATTTCCCGCTGCCCTCTGCATCAGCGCCTGTCCGCGCGAGGTCCGGTAGGAGGATATAGGTCCGGGACGAAGCGGTCGTTGATCGAAGACCTGGTCCGTTCGTTTCGACCACGATCGCGCTCCCGGCGACCTCCTCGTGGATGATCACCGCGCTCATAGCGCCCACCCCACCTGCTCCCATTCTCAGTGTATACCGCCTCGCTGTACCCCGATTCTCGGTCTCGGTCTGAACCTTGGGGCGGAGAAGTAGCGTTGACTTTCATCATGGGGCGTTGCGTGGAGTCCCTCCTACCTTTCCTGACATATCCATCGACACTCTCCGAAGCCCGATCCTGCTCTCTCTCAAACTCTAGGTCATGGACGTGACACTGTAGGCTATGCGCTTCTGTCTCCAACGTAGTGACGCGATCTTGTAAATCCTTGTTCTCGACCTCGTATGCTTGGATTTGGGCCTCCATCTCTTGTATCTTGCTCGTCATATCGCTAATCTCGCGAGCGGACTTGGCGGTTTCGTTCCTCATCAGTGTGTCGCGCTGTTCGATCGAGACGTTCTCACTGAGTATGGCGTCCTTCTCCTCCAGGCGTCTTGAGTACGATACCGTCAAATCGCCCAGGGACTTGGTTGCCTGCGTCAGGCGACCATGGTAGTCGCTGGCCATCTTTTTCGCAGCTGTCTTCTCTTGCTGGAGTCTTGCGTTGTCAGCTTCCTGGTCCGCGATGCGTGCAAGAAGCTCGGGGACCCGCCTCATTGGTGCCAAATTGCCATCGATCACAGGCGGCGCAGTACTGTGACGAAGTTAGCAAGAGCGTTTTTGAAGATCGTTCTAGGTACTTACAGCTCTGGAGGCGGCATTGAAACTGCCTGGCTATTTGGCGTTGGGACAGCGGACACTACATCAGGCATGTCGACATTGCTAGGCTGACGACTGAGCCGAGGGTCACGGGCACTGTCGTAGGTGTTGTTGAAGGCCATCAGAAGATTTGAATAATTAATGGAGCTTTACGAGAAGAGGAGAGGAGCCGTGGTGTTCTGGGAGTACATATAAAATCGTGCGTTTGTCGATGTGGCCTTGGCTAGCGCGACTATATCGTGAGTGAGCAAGTATTTACTGCGACTGCGGCGACGCCGTCACCCAACCAATCTCCCGCTTCTACGCCGACAACTTACGCTGGGAGTCATATCTTGCTCCCGTCGGTATAGCCGCGGCGACCTGACTCCCGCAGACTTTGTCGAATCAACCACAACCGCCACGATGACGCGGGGAAATCTTCTGCGACACATCTTCAGACACGGTCCGAATTCCAAGCTCAAGAGCGACGCAGCCCCATCCAAAGCAGGCGAGAAAGAAAGCTCGCCTCTCATCGCAAAGTCACCCGCAAACGAGTTTAAGCCGCTATCGCAAGATCAGTCACCCCCACGAACACCCGAGCCCCATACCGTACATGTCCTCCCCGAGATCGCCGAGGAGGGATCTAGCTCTCCAGTTACCGATTCGCCTTCCGCATCTTCAAGCACAGGCAGTACAGTCTCCGACCTCGCATCCATAGTCACTGTTCTCGCCGCGCACGCACCTCTCATCAACCCCGCAACTCTAACCACGCGCGACCTTCTCTACGCCGCCATTGATGAAGCGATTTCAGCGACGAAGGATCATCTCGATACACTAGCAACTGCATGGGCGCTACTTGAGGCACTTGCTGGCTTTAGTGCGACGGTCGAGGTGCTGAAGCAGGAGATGGAGCTTAAGATTACGTCGTCCGAGGCCAAGCTTGTGGAGCTTGAAAGTTTTGAGGAGGCGGTTGAGGGTATGACGTTGTCGGATGAGCAGGACATAACCGGCGCGGATGGGGCTGATGTGGACGGTTCACCCGGCCACTAATTAGGACATGGTCGCAAGATGGTAGCATAAGCCATGTGTAGGTCAAGTCTATGGCTCCACGGGGTTTTCCGATCTGGAATACTGTCGTGGAATAAAAGGAGGAGCAGCGATTCAGGGACAGTGTAAGAGGTTCTCCTATGGCTGAGTAGCAGGACGACAAACTTGAGCGACAACATCACGAACTTATAAGATGCATCGATGGATACCCGTAATGAAACCCGACTACTAAACTTGCAAAGAAAGAACTTGTGGGTGATGCTGGTGAGTCCGAAAGCCGGAATGTCCGGACTGAGCAGCGGACTCAGAACCACGCAAGAGTTTTGCATGGGCGACCAACTTTTCGATGTGGCCCACCCACACATTTACCATGCATTACCATTACCGCGTTAATACCCTTTTAGCATACTTCAGATCTTGAGCGAATCGTACTGAAGATGATTGAAGCGTCGTTGTACGGTACCGAACACTGAGCAGCCAGTGATGCGAGGCGCATATCTTTCGTGTGCTCATCTATGGCATGCGCCGATACACTACCCCGGGCGCCTTCAACGATTGAACTAGAAATTTCTTCATCTTCGTAGTCGACCAGTTCCGTGAAGAAAAGCCTGCAATCCCTCTTAACATAAAGCCTCCATTTTTTCACCAGTTCAACATCATCTTTATTCATCTACACATAGCAAACCTTCTTCTCCAGTCAAGATGGGTCCAGCCAGACAATACCACGAGAGCCTCATACTATGCGAAATCGAGGCAAATAGAGACAAGTACATACACTTTCTGCAAAGGCTTGTCCGAGCAGCAAGCCCCAACCCGCCCGGCGACACCCGAGCCGCCGCAGATGTCGTCACGAAATTCCTTGCAGCCAACAACATTTATGCAGATATCGTTGCCCCGATGGCTCATATGCCCAACGTGGTTTCAGATTTCGAAGGCCGCTTGCAGGACGGTCCTCGCGTCGTTTTCAACGGCCACATGGATACCTTTCCAGTCAATAACCTTGAGGGTTGGCGTTACCCGCCATACTCTGGCCACAACGATGGCACTTCGATACACGGTCTTGGATCCGTTGATATGAAAGCAGGCACCGCGGCTTCCATCATCGCGTTCACGTTGCTGAAGAAGCGAGCTTCGCATCTCATCGGAAGCGTCGCTTTGACCGTGGTCTCGGACGAAGAGACGGGAGGCGAATGGGGGACCAAGTATCTGCTTGATCACTGTGGTCAAAATTCGCCTTGGCTAGGCGATTGTGTTGTCAACGGCGAGCCTGGTGGTCTACAGTCCATTAGGTTTGGCGAGAAGGGTAAGTGGCATCTACCCATGAACAGTTTTGAAGACCTATACTAACCCTGAATCGTAGGCACGCTGCGCTTGACCTTCACATTCAACACTCAAGGAGGTAACGGAGCATACACGCACAACGGCTGTGGAGCCATCGTACACGCTTGCTCCTTAATAACAACCCTGAAGCGCGTGGTCGAGTCGATACCCGTAAAGATCCCGCACCAACTCAAGGCTTATCTTCGCTCCAAAAGCGCGCACGCCGTTACTGATGAGATCATGGGCGCTGGGGCGGCAGCGAATATGTTCTCACTCACGTTGAACATCGGCATCATCAACGGCGGCGTCAAAGTCAACGTCATCCCTTCAAAGTGTGTCTTTGAAGCCGACATCCGCCTGCCGATCGGGCTCGACGCTGAGACTGTACTCAATGAGATTGACAGCTTATTGCTTTCGTCCCCTGGCGTATCATACGCCGTGCAAGAAGCAGCCAGCAACCCAGCAAGCTTATCGGAGTACAATCACCCACTTTCTGGGTACATGGCCGATGTTGCGCGAGACATTACTGGGAGGGAGCCGGTGCAGATCGTCGGCCTGGGTGGTACGGACTGTAAGTTTTATCGCTATCGCGGTGTACCGGCGTTTGTGTTTGGGCCTTCTCCAAGCGGGATGGGTGCGGATGGTGAAGCTGTACTCATTGAAGAGTTTATGACTGTCATCAAGACACATACACTTGGGGTCTTCCGGTATCTGTGGGATGATAAAAGGTGGGATCTCAGTAGGGGATTGGGAGAGGATACTCCCACGGGCGAGAGGAGGGCTCTCGAGATCAGAACTCGCAAGCAGAATATGGGGTAGCGGATTGGCCTCAACCTTTGCTCCAGTTATGTTAGAATTAATGCGCTTGAATGAGACACTTTCCCAAAGGCTGTCCAAACATCGGGACAAATGTGAAGCCTCGGTGGAGTCATGACGGCCACGAGCTTGACCACGCACATGCGGGGTGAAGTAGTGACGGTCCGCGCCGATGCACAAGCGCAAGGAAACAGAACGAGTACCTATGTGGACGCTACAGCGGGCCAAGAGCTGACGGACAACGCGCGATGCAATAGTGAGACTTCCAGAGATGAGTTCGCTCACGGCACTGTGACGCATTAGTACTAGATGACAGCTGTTGCACAACTTTGTCACTTCTGGCAGCGACGATCAATACAACATACCGAAAGACTCCGCGGACCTAAGGAAGTACCTCTCACCACTTCCGCGTCCTTCCGTCTGATCAACACACCAAGCCCCGACAGCGACGTCCAAAACCCCAAAGCAGCCATCGGCAGATGAAACTGGCGGTGTCTGGAGGCCTAACGTCATACGCGATGACGCTCACAGGCCCCTCCCAATACAAACGAGATAACAGGCGCATAATCAAACACCAAACACCACAACGGCATTGACATGTCGCAACTGAATCGGCGGCATCACCAAAAAAGGCAGCAGGTACAAGAGTTAAAGAGTTAAAGAGTTAAAGGAAAGGCTCGACACTTCGCTTCGTCAGTAGTCCAGACCCAGCTAGCGCACTGTCTCCAGCGATCGGCCCTCGTGGTAACCGAGCGGGAAGTGGAGACCAATAAAATACAGGGGTCCAGCTGCCCTTAGCTGACACCGGCACACACGGTCTGACGGGACCAGCCTGCATACGGAAGCCATCCGTTCTCCTGTTTTCCTGGCCTGAAATTTCGGTTTGGCGTTTCCTTCTTCCCGTTGCTCATATCTGCGTATTCCCTTTATTCCCCTCAGAGCGTTCCGTCTCTTTGCTTTTGCTTCAAATCCTTCCAATCCTTCCGGGTCCTGCGATTACTTATTCCATGCCAATCATCGGCCGCATATCTCTACACCGCCGACATATTCCCGAAAGACCCTGCACAACCCACAACCCGCAACCACGATGCCGGGAACTACAATGACGAAAACGAGTGCATACCCCTACATCCTCACCACAGTCGCAACCCGGAAAGAAGGTGTTTCGCGCGCCCAATTCCACCAGCACAACGAGGAAAAATACGCACCTTTACTCAAAAAGATCGCGGGGAAAGTGCATCCGTTGTCGTGGACGCGGCACTACCATGTTGACGACGAGGAATGTCCAATCGGGATTCCGCGTGTGTTGATTGGGGTTGATGACGGGATGGACTGGGATTGCATGGGTACCATGGCGTTTGAGGATGAATTGCATTTGCAGCAGTTTATTGCGTTTATGCATAGCGATGCGGCGATTCCGGTGCTGGAGGAGGAGGAAAAGTTCGCGGAGCCGACGAAGACGAAGTTGTTGGTTATGAAGAAGGGGGTTAGTGTGAGGGAAGGGTAGAAGAATGGTGGGGGTTTGGGAGTTTGGGAAGGAAAAGTGAAATTGGAAGCGAGGCTGGAACATGGTCTTCAGGAATGCGATTTGATTTGAACAGGATGTTTATGTTGGGTCATCAAGGATATTTGACTTATGATATGGAAGGAGATAGTCATCACAAACTGCATGAACAGGCAGTACAAACATCCATGCCTCTCTCACGATGTGCCTACGAAGGAAGCCACTCCCCATCCCAGTCCTCCCTCCTCATAGCCGGCCCCCACGAATCCCCCACACCCGTATCATTACCCCAATCGTCACAGCCATCCTGACACAACATCGGAACCCTGTCAATCGCCCTCTCCAGAGAAACATCTCCTTCGACCCGTATAATACCACCGTCACGAATCCATATATCGTGCGGAAAGTGTGGCATCTCTCCGTGATGGTACATATGTCGAATGTGTCTGTGGTTAATCTCGGCGAAGCATTGGAATTCTTCTTCATTCTTGTAAAGTGTGCGGGTGACGAACACGGTTACGACAGTGTTGTTCCACAGCCCGCCGGCTGCGTCGTGGAAACGGTCGTCACCGGGACGGTATCTAGCTCTAGCTGCTTGATGGAAGAAGCGAGCGATGTTGGATGCCTTGGCGGGATCGGCAGGTCGAAGTCCACTGGACTTGGGTAGTCTCTGGGAAATGGCTTGGATGTCGGACTTCTCATCGTCTTCGACGGCCACGCGTTCGCGGGGGATTTGTGACATGAGATAGTCGAGTACTTTCCTCTGTCTCATCTTTGTTCCAGCTTTGCCGAGCTCGATGAGCTTTGTTGGTGACTCTTCGACGAAATGTCGGACTAGCTCGTTTACGATGGCGTGAGCTTCGAGGTTTATTTGCTTGCTTGTACGTAGTATGGCAGTCGGCAGATGTCTTGTGACCAGGACAGCCACTTCTCCGTCTATGGAGACCACGGTGTGTTTGATCTGGCGTGGCAGCCGCTCGTAGATCATTAGGCGCAGTTCGACGGGAAGATTCATGAACGGGAAAGGATTGTGTTGGTCGCTCGACATGTCGGTGGCTGGAGTGATGTAGGGGTTGCTCTTAGAAATAAGTGCTCGTATGCAATGATTGATATTAGAAGAGATCAAGGTACTGACTGTACTCACTACGCCAGCGGCTGCAAGCTTCAGTGCCCTAGGATGGATGAAAACAATTGTGGATTAGCATCAAGATCATATATACCGGTGTCAATGGTAGAGTGATAAGGCCTGGATAGGTATGGCGATAAGAGATACCCTATCGGAGGGTTTACAAATCATTACCGTGCCGTCACCAAGACCACGGGTAAGCCGGAAAGAGCGACGCCGGAGAGTTTGTAAGATGGCTGGCGAATTCTAGACCAACAGACGGTCAATTTACGTCGGATCGCCGGAAGCAGTTGTATAGCGGGATCCAGCTAGTTGGCGCAAGCTACGAAGGTGGATACTAATGCTTGTCGAGAGGACGTGAAAGGCGAGATGATCACGTGACAATTGCGACATTCATGCAACGATTGCGAGACACGTGAGAGCGGAATCCGGATAACAGTATTGATCGGCCCTTTTGGACGGTACTTCGACTAGGATGTGAGCACCATAACAAAGGAAAAAGCTAGACACCCTGCAGTCTACATGGTTTCGCACACAAAAGATGGCTAACTTTCAACGCAATGTAGACTCTTGGGTTTTTTACTTCCATCATTCTCTATGAACGGGCATTCAATCCCTCCCTGGAATGGCATATGGGTACTCCTCACGAAGAAGGCACCCAATTCCCAATCCAGTCATCCCGGCTCATACAAGTCTCCAGGGTCAAGGTCCCATCCAAATCGAACTTGTCCACGTTGAGTTTGATAGGGACGTTGTTTGCTGTGACTTTGTACTCTTCGTTGGGAGCGTATGCGAGGATACCCTTGAAGGTTCCACGAACGAGAACGCCGAGACCAGACTCATATTCCCGTCGAAAAAACTCTAATACGCTCGGAGGAGTTCTATGGGGGCCAGGGGCGATGTTCAAGGAATGCTGCGCACGCAGCCTGTCCATCACGTTCTCCTGCTTCTCGAAATGTACTGTAGCAATTTTGGCAACCCAAATCCTGGTATCTGGCGTTTTTGCTAGTGTAGTCTGGCCAAGGAGAACTGCAATGTCGCGCGGTCGTCTGGTATCCCAAGGATGGGAGACAAGGTCTGGGTGTCGCTGAATGATGTCGCTCACATGGTAAGGCTGACCGGTCTACGGTTGCGTCAGATTCGAGATTCAAAGAATGGTAATGTGAGATTCGACTCACCAAAAGCGCTTTACGCTCAGTCACGATCAGGAACTCAAGTACTCTCAGCGCTCCCCCATTGTCCTCACGGCCTATGGCCCGCGGGTGCGACTCTGTCACAAAGGTTTGAACCAGAGCTGTGACGATATCAAACGCCTCGTCATGGATTTGACGGCTTGTTCTCAAGATAGCCACTGGGAGGTGACGTGTGATCAAGATGACTGTTGAATCCACGCTCTCGTCCTGACGGGGCCACGCTGCTGCGCCTACGTAGCGAACCTCGGTATGCTTGATCTGACGGGGAAGACGCTCGTAGATCATGAGGCGCAACTCTGACGGGAGGTCCATGAAGCGAAATGGTTTGGAGTCATCCTGCGTCGACATCGTGGTAGCACTTCACACTGGGAAGACGCCGAAGGCGGTAGAGCTTGCGTTAAAGTTAGTTCGCGTACTTTGCACGTTTTCAGCTTAATGTAGGCTGCAAACCTGTTTGGTGCTTTCCTTGCACAAGGTGATAGTGTACTCCGGAGCTGTGGTAAGAGACCGTTTCGCTTTAGTATGAGGTGCGCAATCTCGGGGGGAGATTGAAACTGCGACGTAGCGATTCAGCGATTGGGAGACTGTCAAGTTCCAAGTGAGGACGAGGGCGAAAGTGAAGGCAGCTCTGGCAAGAGCAACGGACTCTAGCGCCGCTTGGCGTACGAAACAGGTAGTGGCAGTCGCAACTAGCAGCAGCACGTGCGCGAAGACGCCGGTGAGAAGATTAAGAGTTAAACATACTAATCAGACAAGGCGGAGAAAGATCAAATATACCATCTCCTTACCTGCCCGAGATATCATCAAAGCCAGTCATCCAGTCCGGCCATCAACATCCCACCACTCTCCTACCCAAGCCATCTAAACCTTCATCCACAGCGCCAGCACGCCCTTCGCGTACTCCACGATCTCGTCGCCACCAAGCTTACTCTCTCCGTACAGCCTGTCAACGAACGAGATAGGCACCTCAGCAACCGTGCACCCCATAGCCTTGGCCCTCACCATCATCTCCATCTGAAACGTATACCCCTTACTCTCCGTCTGCCTAATAACCTTCTGCAACACCTCCTTCTTATACAACCTAAAGCTGCCCGTAAGATCACTCACACCGGGCCTGAGCACCGTATCCGCAAAGAGATTCGCCCCCCTCGACACAAACTTGCGCTTGAGATCCCAGCCGAACACGCCGCCGTCGCCCGCGTACCGCGTTCCGGTAACGATGTCGTAGTTCTTGGTCTTTTGCAAAGCGATCATGGGCGCGATGAACTTGGGGTGGTGGCTGAAATCCGCGTCCATGATGATGACGAAGTTTCCGGTTGCGAATTGCAGGCCGTGGACGTAGGCGGTTCCGAGGCCGAGTTTACCGGCGCGCGCGCGGATTTGGATGCGGGATGGGGTGTAGGCTTTTTGGAGCTGGGCGGCGATTTCTTGGGTGCCGTCGGGGGAGCCGTCGTCGATGATGATGAGTTCCCAGTCGAGTTTGCTAGTCATAAAGTGTCAGCATTGGGGATGTGGTGCAGGGTGGGTGTTGCGACGTACTTCTCCTCGAACGTCTTGGCCAGCAGCCATGTTATTATGGGCAGGTTGCGGCGCTCGTTGTAGGTGGGGAGGAGCACCGAGTACTTGTTGGTGTTCGCCATCTTTGCAATTGCGTGTGTGAGTCGTGTGTCTGCGGAATTGGGTGAATGAGCGACTGCAGGTGAGGGTTGACGTTGGGGAGTTGAGGATTCGCGGAGGTGATCGTGTCCGCAAGTAGCTCGGGGCTGTCGGCGGACCCTGGACTAGCCTCTTTGGACCATCTCCTTCCGCAACGACATGGCCGAGTTTGGGTGGCCTTACACGTCGATGTTATACGAAATCGACATTCCCGCGCCAATTAGAAGGATATTGGATCGGTGCTGTCGGATTTGTAGGGTAATGCCGGTCGATACAACGGATACCCTCTCACCATGTCACCCACACCCCAGAGGAAAAACCTCTTCCTCTGCCTCGACGCCTTCGGCACCCTCTTCACACCCACGAAACCCATCCCAATAACTTACGCCGAAGCCGCCCTCAAGCACGGCATCGCCATAAACACGCCCGAACCCGCCACCCAAGTATCCTCATCCTTCAAATCCGCATTCAAAAACCTGTCATCAAAACACTCAAACTATGGCCGAGCAACAGGCATGGGCGCAGAAAAATGGTGGGCCAAAGTGATAAAGGAAACATTCACACCTTTCCTGTATCCGAACCAAACTTTCCCCAAGTACCTTGTCCCAGAGCTACTCCACACCTACTCATCACGTAAGGGCTACACCATGTACCCCGACGTCCTCCCCTTCTTCCGCATGATACGGCACATGAAAAGCCACCGGGTACGTTACGGCACTTCTCATGGACTCTGGCCCTGGGACAAAACCATAGTAGGCGTCATAACGAATTCAGATAACCGCGTCCCGGGGATATTATCGTCTTTCGGTATCAACGTAGGTCCCTCGCGTTACCATAATATGAAACCCTCCAATCCCAAAGATGGGGAGTATGACATCGATTTCACGGTCCTATCTTACGACGTCGGAGTCGAGAAACCAGATCGACGGATCTTTGCTGCGGCGGAGGAGATACTCGACCACAAGCTAGAGGCCGCTTCGGTGACCAGTGGCGAAGACATCAGAGCGGAGGAGTTTGAGAAGATTTACGTAGGCGACGACCTTCGCAAAGACGTGTTCGGCGCGCAAGACGCAGGCTGGTCGAGCGTATTGCTAGAGAGAGATGCAAATCTGGTGGACGGCCAAGGCTACGGGTTGAAGATGACAGAAAAGAGCCAGAAGATTGGAGAAGGAGGAGAGGTGATCAGTCAGAACCGATTGGTGCCACATGTTGGTTCCTTGCTCGATTTGTGTGCTTGGCCACGAAGACTTGGACGGCATGAAATATCGCTCGTGCGATATGTCTATGTAGAGGAGATCCCTGAAGATAGATCGCCAGGGCAGGACAAGCGTCGACCATGAAGCTAGACGTAATTTACATGGCGTTGCTTAGTAAATTCAGATATTGAATAGCCGATGACAAGTCCATCAATCATTTGCAACATCCAAACATCACACTCTCTTCCAAGGTTATTGTCCACCCGCACACTCGTCACATCAGCGAATACCATCTATTGTATCATACGTCTCATTGCAGTTCATTCCATGTCAGTCGACAATCCAACCTCCAACCACCAACCCGCCAGAGACGAAATACACTAAAGTCCGCATCTTGTCCACCAAACCGTCATACCCCATCCACATCCATACCACCGACTCATCTTGCCGTTGCCGTGCCGAAGCCCCACCGCAAAAAGAAACATACGAAACATGATCATGTACAGAATCCACCAAACCAACCAGAGCCAAAAAAGGCACCGAGCCAAGTTGTTATCCAAAGCCCTCTCCAAACCCTTGATTTTCGCGGGATTCCGTTTGCCAATTTTTGCGCCTGAAAGGTAATGCCCAACTGTGGTGTCCGCGTGGTATTAAGGTTTTGGGTGACATCGTGGTGTTGGAATTCGACTCGTGGTAGACCGTTATAATGCAAACAAAATGTGTGATTTGCTACACGATGAGAAACTACCTCATTCGAATGCGCGTTGGAAACGGATGTTCTTGTGTCACAACTCCTCATCCTCTTCCATCTTGGTTTCGATGGTGGGGATGTTTCCGTCTGAGTTGGCTCGGCCTTGGTTGTGGGCGTCCATGAGGGCTTGGCCTAGGCTCTTGCGCACGTTGTCGTCGAAACCGGGTAATGAAGCGCGCTGCTTCTTGTAGGGTGAAGCGATCGAGTTTGTACTGGGCTCTCCGGAGGTGTTTGCGGCGGCTGAGGATGACGCCTCTCCTGTCGACGCGTTTTCTGGCGCTGGCGTACCGGAAAGAGGAGATCCTGTCGAGTCGGAGTGGGAGGGTCCTGCGGGGCGGCCGAGAGGTTCTGCGGAATGTTGACGCTTCAGCTGTGATGTGTCAGTAGACGAATTTCGAGCGACAACAATACACATACCTTGATCTTGCGCACGCCCTCTGCAAGTTCGCCTTGCCTGTGAGCATCCTCAGGCGACAGCAAGCCCTTGTCGAGAACCTCCTTATCATCGTCCGCATCCTCCACCTTGACATCGTCCTCGTCGTCGGCGTCGCTGTCCATGGCGTCCTCCGTCTTCTTCTTAGACTTGGGCGAAGTCTCTCGGTAACCTCCAAAGTTCTTTGTTCCAGCGGCCGCGTTCAAAGGCTTCAGGCTGCCAAAGTCGAGCGCGCCAGATTTCCGCTTGGTCTGTGGCGAGGTGATCTTGGGCGTCTCCTTGGTGTTCAGAATACCCATCTTCCGCAGTTGACCTGTCATTGGTTAGTGAAAATCTGGTATCCCTTGCTGTAAACTTACGCTCTCCGCGGTACAAAAAGGTAAAGACGGCGTAGGGCTTATCCGGGGGATCTATTCCAGTCACAGTCTGAGTGCTGATAGACTTGGGGTCCAGCGTCTTAGGCTTTGCGAAACTCGTTGTGTGGTCAACGTCTTCGCCCTCTCCTCCTCCGTTTTGCTCGTCGTCATCGTGTGCGTCGAACTGGGGTGAGTACTCGCCGCGCTTGATCTCTCCAGACGCCAGAACACGGAACAGGGCGACCTTGATTTGTCCGGCTGCCTCGGGCATGGGGGGCTCGTCGTCCGAATCGGAGTCGGTGGTGAAGAACTCGTCGTTGCCGGAAAGCGTCTCGACAGGCGCGTCCTTGCTTTCGCTGTAGCGCAGTACACCGTTGCTGGAGGTCTTCTTGTCCTCGTCGCTGCTGTCCATGGCCTCTCTCCGCTTTGCCCGCTTCTTTTCCAGGCGCTGCTTTCTCCGCTCGATCTTGGCGGCCACGTCCTTGTCCTTGCCCTCGAGATCCAGACCGTTCAGCCATCTCTCGAGACCGACCTCGCGGAAGAGGAACTCGCGCTCTGCGAGACCCCCGCCTTCTGACTCTGGCACGCTGACCCACCGTGAGTTGACCCACGTCTCTTCGCCGCGTCGCAGCAGGGTCGCTACTTCCTCCTTTGCCCGGCCGTCAAAGTATATGTATGCAGCGATTGTCTCGTTCGGCGAGGTGGTCAAGGGCTTGTACGGGGCTATCGTGGGACCGTACTTGCCCCGCTCTCCGGTTTGACCTGGGAGGCCCCCGACAATCTTCGCTTTCGGGTTGGGGTCATCGTCAGTTGGCTTGGGCGTCGAGTAGGGCACGTGAAGACCTGGGGTGAGCAGAGTAATCGATATCGCGAAAGAAGACTGCTCAGGCTTGGTAGCGCCCGGCGGTATCTTTGCGGGTGGGACAGGGATGTACGAGGTGATACGGTGATGTTTAGATTGCTTCTGTATCGAATATTCTGGGAGCGGGTTGCTGTCGGCATGGATGCTGACGGCGAGGCCTAGAAAGGTCGGCATTTTGGATTAGGCGTGGTGAGGACGGCTGCGAAGCTGCGGAGATGGCAGCGGAAGAGCCCTAACACAGTAGTCTTGGCAGAGTTGGGAGGGAGAAAATATCCCTGCGATAGAGCGGCCGCCGGAGGGGCAGCTGCGCGAGTAAGTAGGCGAAGATGGGCTAGGAGGCGGTGTGAGGTAGCGACTCTGAAGGTCTGTGTTGTTGGTTTAGGCGGAGAGCTTCCGTAGCGGGCGCTCCACGATGTTGGGGTCCACAAGTCGAGCACCCAAGTCACGAGCCAATCACGCGTGCACCTGATTGTTTCCTGCGAACTTCAAAGAGCCGCCATCTTTCACGCATGTAACTGTCAATATCACGTCAAAGGATATGCTGCGACCATGCGTTTGGGCAGGGGATCGAATCAGGGGCGTGCCTGTCGTCGATCGAACGTGGGGTCATGACTAGTGGCATGGCGCCTGCCTGTTCGTGCCTTTCAAGTTGAAGGGAGCCCTGGCAGACCTACAGTATGTTCAGACTCCATGTGTGCGAACTACTCAACAATCATCATCACGCGTTATCCAGACATCTCAAAGCCAGGACGTTGTGGGGCCAACCCAGAGCTATATGAGATTTTCAAAGACAGCGGTCGGGTTCTGCATAGTTCATCACCGCTCTTTACTCGCCGATGTCTCCACTTCTCTCTATCTAGGGTATCATACAGTTCGTTAGTCGGCCGACGCGAACATATCCTCTGCTTTCGGGTTCAGTTGGGCAACTCGAGATGATGGGCGGCATCTTTGTGATGAGATGCCACCACCTTCTCTCCGCCTCCCCCACCCACCCTTCATACATACTTCTCTAGGCCTTTTCGATCAGCACAAAGATAGTGTCTGATTTGCGGTCTCAGTCCTCAACGACCACAAAGATGGATCAGACTCCTAATCCTCTTCATCCAAAGCAAACATATCCTCAGCCTTCGGTCTCAACCGCCTCGCCCTCGCAACAGCCGTCTCTCTAGGGATCTCAACGACCTTTGGCGGATCTGCTGGCACTACAACCTCCGGGGCGACGACGTCCTCCTTAACAATAGCCTCAGCCTCCGCTTCAGCAACAAGTCGCTCAGGCTCAGGCTCCCCCATCTGACTCGCAGTAGGAGAAGGCGATCTCGCCCCATCCTTCGCATCCTCATCAATATCCATGCCCTGCTCGTCTTGCTCACCCTCCTCCTTCGCCTCAGTATTAGAAGCTTTCCTAACAACCACCCCCTTCCTCCTCCTCTTCTCCGCCGCCCGTCTTTGCACCTCCACCTCCTCCCTCTCCCTCTCCCTCCGATTAAACTTATCATCCAACTCCTTCAACGTCTTCTCATCAAACAAATGATCCCCCGTCCACACCGCCAAAATCGCATTAACATCCTCCCTATACGTCCTTTCGGTCATACGCCCCATCTCCAGCCTCGCAGGCAACTGCTCTAGGTGTTCAAAGACTTTGCGTTCAACAAGCTCGGTTCCAATGGCTAGTCGGTATTTGTAGGAGACGCCTGATTCTTTTGCCGTGACGAGCAGGACGTCGGAGACGATGCGGAGCGCGTTTAGGGTTACTTGGCGGAGGTCCGGGCGCCGGATGTCGTCTTTACCTGCCGCGTCGCCTGCACGATTTCGTGTGTTGGCGTCGGTGAGCTGGAAGGGGTTGATGATGTTGGAGACGAGGATGCTGGTTACTTCGTCCATGCCCTGGGCGGCGTGTTCGACGGCAAAGGTGGAGATGGCGGCGAGGTCGTCGTAGACGATGCTGCCGGGTGGGATTGCGTTGATCATCCACAGGAGCATCGCTCGTGATCTGGGATTCATGATGCCGTGTCCATTGTCCACACGGCCGGGATAGTTGTCGCCGACTGGTAGGGGCTTGAATATCGGCTTCTCCTTCTCCTCCTCGTCATCGCTATCCAGACTCTCGTCGTCTGATTCGAAAGCTCCCACGTGGTCGACGAACTCGTGGCGGAGTGGATCGACGGGGCCTTTCCAGGCGCCCTGCCCGGCAAAGATTTCGGAATCGGTGCTGTTGGTGACGATTTGGTGGAGACGCCAACGGTAATACCGGTTGACGGGGTGCTTCTGGTCGTATAGCCACGCGAAACGTTCCTCTTCTTGTACTTGCGGCTCGTTCATCAAAGCTGCTTCGAACTCTACACCACCAAGAATGACGCCCTCGATAGTCTGATGTACCAATCTGAGTGTCGCGAGATCAGGAGGCTGGTTCGCAGTGACGATGAGGTCTTCAGCGTTCTCGCGCGGCCCTCTACCACCTCCGCCTCCACAAAGATCTGGCGGCGGCGCAAAACCTTTGGGTAGCTCGGGTGCCTGCCACCGTGCGCCAAATGCCTTTGTCTGTTGTGTTGTGTCTGCTGTGCGACTGCCAAGATATCTGTCCAGATGTAGATAGTAGCCCTTGCCTAGATACTTCTTATCGTTGAGTTTGTTCATCGCAGCATCGAGGTCTCGCGCGTTGGCATCCTTGTCAAAGGTGATGTTCATCGTCGCTGAAGGCCTGCCCTCCACCCTCGATCCTTGTGGTATCCTGTCGACCCGCGC